CAGGGCAACCCCGATATGAAATGGGCTGCCTGACTGGGTCCTCACCAGCATGCTTAAAAGGGACTTATAATAAGACTCAACTGCAGGCACACACAAAAAGGTTAATAAAGGGTTTGTTTACAAAAGAAGGAGAAATGAAGAAATGAATAACTCATGGAGAAATAAAGGGAGAAAAAAATTGGTGAATGAGTCCTACCAGATGCTCTGAGCTGGAACCCCAATAGCATGCTAAAAACTAGGGAAAAGCCAAGAGACCCCTAAGGCCCGCAGGTCTGGTTATATACCAAGCTTGGCTGCTAAACCCTCAGGTCCCAGCAGTCCTCCCTTCCGTGATAATGACATTGTGGGATTTGTGGTTCTTGGTGTCTTGGATCTCTTTGGTCTTGGGGGGTGGAGTCCATAAAACCTGTGTTTGTGGAGTTCCTTCAGGGCATCCTTTCCCCCCAACAATTGCATGTGCATTAATCTTATTTCTATCAATCGTTTATGCAAATGCTTTCTTACACACTCCAGTTCAGGGTATTACCATACTTTTTAAAGATTTATTTATTTATGCATTTGTCATTTGTGTTTGACTTTGGGTTACAAAGAAATGTTACATTTTTATTAATCTTTCCTGTTTGGATTCTAAGAGGTACAAGGGAAGGGAGTGAGAGGATTCACCAGAGACAGTGTGGGGAGCAGAACAGGCAGATCCATTGAAGTACACTGCTGAGGGGAGCAGCAGGCGAGTCAGGAGAGGTCTGCTGGGCCATGTGGGCAGCTCCCTGGCCAAGGATGGAACTTATGCTGCAGAGGCTGCAGCTAGCTAGATAGCGCTGAAACTTTAACCCCTGCACTACCAGGGAGGCTCTGGAAAGGTAATCTTTAACTGATCCCGGTTCCCCCACCCCCATCCTTTCTTTTTAGTAGAAGTTATTTAAGGAAGTGACCAGTCATTTCCCTAGTTACTCAGTTTCACTGAGTCACTCTGAATCCTAGGGCAAGTTACGAAGAATTAGGCAGCCTTAAGGACAGTGCAAGGACTTCAGGAGAGTTAAGGAAGGCTCCAGGGCCTCCCCGGTGGCGCAGCGGTTGAGCGTTGGGTTGCGAAGCTTCCTGCAGCCTCTGCAGCGCCAGTTCGATCCCCGGCTGCTCCCCGGACACCGGAGGAGGGTCCCACATGGCGCGCAGAAGTCTCCTGCCGCCCGCTGCTCCCCTCAGCAGTGTACTTCAGTCCTTCTGCCTGCTCTGCTCCCCGCTCTGGCTCTGGTGAATTCTCTCTCACCCTCCCGCGCTTCTGACTGTACCCAGTGCTTGTATCAATTAATCAATCAATCAATCAATCAATCTGTATAAATAATAAATAAATAAATCTTTAAAAAAAAAAAAAAAAAAAAAAAAGGAAGGCTCCAAAGATAAGGACAACAAATCAAACACCCCAGGACTTAATGACATTAGGGACTTATTTTATGACCTTAGGGTCAAGAGGACATTCCAAATAGAGGGCAACGAAGAAAGATAAGGGTTGGTACACAGAGACTTAGTTCCCGGCACAGAGACATTTAGGCAGTGAGTGAGACCACTGAGAACTAACCAATCACGAAGAGACTGGTGAAGCTTTAGAATAATTAAGGAAAGAAGGTATATATTCCCTGAGACTGGACTCCACTTTGGCTTCCTTGCCCCTCCCTGGCCTGGTTCCATGGCCTGGGAGTTCCACTTTATTTCTGTTCCTTTTCTCCTCAATAAACCTTTTCTTTCTCTGGGCCTCCCTGGTGGCTGAAGGGATTAAGCACTGCACTATGAAGCAATCCGCAGCCTCTGCAGCAGGAGTTCAATCCCAGACCAGCCAGGGAGCAACCCACATGGTGCAGCACACCTCTCCTGACTCGCCTGCTCCTCCCCTCAGCAGTGTACTTCGGTCAATCGGCCTGCTCTGTTCCCCACTCTGTCTCCCGTGGGTCCTCTTGTTAGGGGGAAAGGATGTCCTGAGATAATCCCATACAGGCTTTGTGGACCCCACCCCCACTCCAGACTAAAGCCATCAAGACATTGGGAAAGACAAATCCCATCACCACCAAAGGGAAGGTGGCTGGGACCTGAGGGTGGAGTTGGGCAGCCAGGTTGGATATAAAAACCAAACATGTGGGCCTTGGGCTGGCTCGCTATTGCTCGCCTCCTGGCTTCACTGCTCCTGGCTGGCGGCCAGCTCTCAGAGTGCCATTTGGGATTCCCGATTGGCGGATCGGGTAGGACTCATTTAAAACTTTGTCTCCCACTTTTCTCCCTGAGCTGTACATTTCCTCATTTCCCCTTTCCTTGTATTAACCTTTTATTAACCTTTGCGTGTGCCTGCAGTAGAGCATTGATAAGTCCTTTTAAGCGCGCGGGTGAGGACCCACAGTCAGGCACCCCTTTTTGTATCGGGGTTGTTCTACAACACTCTCACCCCCGCATCTCTGGCCTGTACCCCAGCTCTTGTATGCATAAATAAATAAATCTTAGGAGAAAAAATAAAAGAAATAAAAATAAAAAAAAAAAACAAACTTTTTCTTTCTCTAAATAAACCTGCCTCGGGCCTCCCCGGTGGCGCAGCGGTTGAGCGCTGGGTTGCGAAGCTGCCTGCGGCCTCTGCGGTGACGGTTCGATCCCCGGCTGCTCTCCGGCCACCAGAGGAGGGTCCCGCATGGCGCGCAGACCTCTCCTGCCGCCCGCTGCTCCCCTCAGCAGTGTACTTCGGTCCTTCTGCCTGCTCTGCTCCCCGCTCTGGCTCTGGTGAATTCTCTCACCCTCCCGCGCTTCTGACTGTACCCAGTGCATGTATAAACAAAAAACAAACAAATAAAAATAAATAAAAACATGCCTCTAAAAAAAAAAAAAAAAAAAAAAACCTGCCTCTTCTTGCTTGCTTGCCTGAGCGTCTGTGAAGTTCTTGCTGTGGCTTTGTGAGACACCAACCCGTGGTGGTCTAGTGGCTGGGACTGGCTGGGAGACTAGACCTGCAAACCTACAATTTCGGTATCAACTCCCAAGTATACAAATTATTATTAAACTTTATATTTTGTTTTCTCCTTTTGTCAATCTAAAAGAATGAAGAAGGGCCTCCCCGGTGGCGCAGCGGTTGAGCGCTGGGTTGCGAAGCTGCCCGCGACCTCTGGGGCGCCGGTTCGATCCCCGGCTGCTCCCCGGCCACCGGGGGAGGGTCCCACATGGCAAGCAGTCCTCCCTGCCGCCCGCTGCTCCCCTCAGCAGTGTGTTTCGGTCCTTCTGCCTGCTCTGCTCCCCGCTCTGGCTCTGGTGAATTCTCTCACCCTCCCACGCTTCTGACTGTACCCAGTGCATGTATAAACAAAAACAAACAAACAAATAAAAATAAACATGCCTCTATAAAAAAAAAAAAATAAAATAAAAGAATGAAGAAGGGAAGGAACAACACCTCCCTTCCCCAATCCATCTTTCTTCTGTAAACTGACCGTAATTTTTGTTTGTTTATTGATAAGTAACAGCACTTCATCTATTAAATATGTTGCAAATATTTTTTCCCGGTTTGTAATTTGACTTTGGGTTACAAAGAAATATTACTTTTTTATTAATCTTTTCCTGTTTGGCTTCAAAGTGCTTGATTAGGTTTAGAAAGCTTTCTCCAAGAATTAAAAAAAATAATTCTCCCATATTTCCCCTCCTTTCTGGCCAGGGGAAAAGGAAGCCTCATTTAAAATTCTTAAGGGCCTCCCCGGTGGCGCAGAGGTTGAGCGATGGGTTGTGAAGCTGCCCGCAGCCTCTGCAGCGCCGGTTCGATCCCTGGCTGCTCCCCTGCGACTGGAGGAGGGTCCCACGTGGCGCACAGACCTCTCCTGCCGCCCGCTGCTCCCCTCAGCAGTGTGCTTAGGTCCTTCTGCCTGTTCTGCTCCCCGCTCTGGCTCTGGTGAATTCTCTCACCCTCCCGCGCTTCTGACTGTACCCAGTGCATGTATAAACAAATAAATTAATTAATTAATTAAAAAAAATTTTTTTAAATCTTGGGGCATCCCTGGTGGGGTTAAACACTAGGGTTAAGCACCTTACTATGAAGCAATTCGCAGTCTCTGCAGTACAAATTCGATTGTCAGCAGGCCAGGGAGCAACCTATGTGGCGCAGCAGACCTCTCCTGTCTCTCCCGCTGCTCCCCTCAGCAGTGTATTTCAGTGGATCTGCCTGTTCTGTTCCCCACTCCGTCTCTGGTGGATCCTCTCACCCCCTGCACTTCTAGCCTATTCCCCAGTTCTTGCATGCATAAAAAAATAAATCTTAAAAAAAATAAAATGCCTAAATCTTTAATCAATTCAGTGAATAGCGTATTCTACAGGGCAACCCCGATATGAAGTGGGCTGCCTGATTGTGGGTCCTCACCAGCATGCTTAAAAGGGACTTATAATAAGACTCAACTGCAGACTCAACTTCACGCGCATGCAAGGGAGGTAGAAGAGCAAGCTTTTTTTTTTTCTTCTTCTTTTTTTTTTTTTTTCTCCACCTGCTAGTTGTATCAGCTTTATCACATAAATCTCTTAAATGACAGAGCGAGGAGAAAAAGGAGTTAAAAGAGAAATGGTGAGGGCCTCCCTGGTGGCGCAGCGGTTGAGCACTGGGTTGAGAAGCTGCCCGCAGCCTCTGCGGCGCCGGTTCGATCCCTGGCTGCTCCCTGGTCACCGGAGGAGGGTCCCACATGGCGCGCAGACCTCTCCTGCCGCCCGCTGCTCCCCTCAGCAGTGTACTTAGGTCCTGCCCGCTCTGGTGAATTTTCACCCTCCCGCTCTTCTGACTATACCCAGTGCTTGTATTAAATAAATAAATTTAAAATAAAATACTTAAAAAAAAAAAAAAAAAAAGAGAGAGAAACGGTGAAAGGTTTTCCGTAAAGGTCGTCCGCTAGCCGGGCGGGGAGCCCAGCCTTTCCAGGCCAGCTTCGCCGCTCGCGGACCCGGGAGGCAGCGGAACGCAGGAGCGCGAGCCCGGAAGCCGGGCGGGCCGGTGCCCCAGGGCGGTGCAGCCGCGGCGGAGCTGTTTGGTGGGAACACCGGCTGCTCGCAGACGGCCGCGATGCTCCCCTCCCTGCAGGAGTCCCTGGATGGGGACGAAAAGGAGCTGGAGAGCAGCGAAGAGGGTGGCTCGGCCGAGGAGCGGAGACTGGAGCCGCCGCCTAGCAGCCACTACTGCCTCTACGGCTACCGCGGAAGCAGGTACAGGGTCCGGCCGCCCCTGCGTCCCTGCCCTGTCCCGGTCGCCCGGCCCCGCGGCCCATCCCCGTCCCCTCCCGCCGCTCCCAAGCGCCGTTTTCTCCCCTCCCGGCCGAGATCGCTGGCTTCAGGGGCTTCCTCGCCTCCGTGCCGTTGTTCCAGGCCCCGGACTTTTGTGCCAGGCCCTCTCAAGCCTCTGCCTCCCTCGCTGTCCTGTCATAGCGCCTGCCTGTCCTTTGTTCAGCGCACTGCCTCGCACGCTCAGTAGCGTCAGTTCCCAGCCCCCCACCTTGCTGTCATTATCTCCCCGCTTTCCTTCCTTTCCCCGCCCCCCCTCCCTTTGGTTACTCTCTGTCCTTGCTGCCTGTTTTTCCTCCTCCCCACCCGACTTCCCTGGGACGCTATTGGTACTGTCATGTCTGTTTTGTAGGGGATAGTTCCTGTACCCTTATGGATATTTAATTAACCTTTTCTCCACCCCTTAGATGACCTGGAGAAAGTAGGGACATTGTCATCCCTATTTTATGGTTTTATGAGGCCAGGCAGTGGTTGAGCCATGCACTTCTTACTTGAAGCATTTTGGTTGACTGCTGACCCCCACCCTGCTTGCAGGCTCCCCATTCTTCGTGTGAGTTTGAGCCCATATCTGATACCTGTATTGCTTTTGTGGCGTACAGATTGACACAGCAACGAGGGGACAGTGATGATGGAAGCCCAAGTGGCACAAGTGCAGAAACTCCCTCTGGTGATGATTTCAGGTAAAAACAGCTTGACCATGACCTATGTATGTGTTTTTATCTTCAGTGCTTCTTTGCCCTGTAGATGTTAGTCGGTACCCTATATCCACGTTCAGTGGTAATTTTTTTGCTTTCTCTAAATCAACCCATCCAACTCACCTATACCCCTATGAGCCTCATCTTTGTTTTGTTATTACTCATTCAAGGCTGGGATAAATCCAAATACTAATCACCTAGTGACCCTAAGTGACCCTAATCACTTAGTGACCCTAAGTGACTACCCAGAGACAATTATGCTGTTTCTTGGTTGGAACTCCAGTAAAACATTCAATATCATATTGGTATCAAGACATTTTTTAAAAAGCTGCTTTTATGTATGCATACAAGTGGGGGGTGAGAGGATTCACCAGAGACAGAGAGAAACAGAACAGGTGGATTGACTGAAATACACTGCTGAGGTGAGCAGCACGTGAGACAGGAGAGGTCTGCTGCGTCATGTGGGTCACTTCCCTGGCCTGGGATCAAACTCGTGCTTCAGTGGCTGTGGATAGCTTCATAGTGCTGTGTCTTAACCCCTTGCACCACCAGGGAGGCCCTGATATCAAGCAGTTTAAATCTAAAAACCCGGTCCACACACATGTTTGAATACACTTTCATGCTCTTCTACTACAGAATAGAATATAACAATCCCAGGAAAGCAGGGATTTGGTGGTACCTAGCATATGGTAGTTATTTAATACATATTCATTAAGTGAATAAATGAATAATCCTTAACACTTGATACAAAGTAGGTAGGATATAATACAGAAATATTATGTTCATTGATTGGATAATGGATGATTTAAGGAATTTTCCAGAAGTCCTAACAGTATTATGGCTATATTTGCATACTTATACATCTTTTTTTTTTAAAGATTTTACTTTTTTATGTATACAAGAACTGGAGTATAGGTCAGAGGTGCGGGGTGGGGTGGGGTGAGAGGATTCACCAGAGACAGAGTGGGGAACAGAACAGGCAGATTGACTGAAACACACTGCTGAGGGGAGCAGCAGGTGAGGCAGGAGAGGTCTGCTGCGCCATGTGGGTAGCTCCCTGGTTGGCCGGGGGATTGAACTCGTGCTGCAGAGGCTAAAGACAGCTTCATAGTGCTGCTCTCAGCCCATTGTGCCACCAGGGAGGCCCTGAGTTCATACATATATATTTTTTAAAGATTTATTTATTTTTATACAAGAATTGGGGTACAGGCCAGAGATGCCGGGGCGGTGGGGGGAGGGTGGTGGTGAGAGGATTCACCAGAGACAGAGCAAGGAACAGAACAGGCAGACTGACCGAAGTACACTGCTGAGGGGAGCAGCGGGCGAGACAGGAGAGTTCTGTCCTGCCATGTGGGTTTCTTTCTGGCGGGCCGGGAATCGAACTCGTGCTGCAGTGGCTACGGATTGCTTCATAGCTTGCGTCTTAACCCTTGCGCCACCAGGGAGGCCCTGAGTTCATATTTTTTAATGGGAAGTTTGATGATTGAAAAGGGAGACCTTTTCTTCCTGAATATTCAAATAATAGTCTCTGTTTATATTCTAACCTAAATCAAACTGAAATTTAAAATTTTATATAAATGATCACTTTGGTGATCATTTATATAAAATTTTAAATCACTTTGGTGATCATTAAAAAGTCATAAATGATCACCGAAGTGGTATGTTTATTCCTGGGATGTAGTTAGAATATTGCAGAAAGTGGAGGATGCACGAAATAGGATCTAGGAGAGTACAGAAGTTAGTAAAGTGATAAATGTAGTGATGGGTAGAAGAAGGAAGGGTCCACTGGAGGCTAGTGATCATTAATTTAAAATGAGATAAGACATCGTTGATGTGAGTTTTTGCCCCACGACATTCCACCGCATAGGTGCAGGTGCAGCATAGACAGAGAGTTGGACTAACCAGGCTGAAGTTTCTCTAAGCAAATATAGTAAGGTGAAAACAACAATGGGGGTGAATGAGAACTTGTGTAGGGGTGTGATTATAGTGACTGATCATGCAATTCAAGCTGAATATAGAGAGGTGCAGTGAGGAAAATGGGAAATTGGAGGGACTATGAAAAAGAGTGGGGCATCCCTGGTGGTGCAAAGGGTTAAGACGCAGCAGTATTAAGCTAAATGCAGCCACTGCAGCACGAGTTCAATTCCTGACAAGGGAGCTGACCCACATGGTGCGGCAGACCTCTCCTGACTGGCCCGCTGCTCTCCTTAGCAGTGTATTTCAGTCAGTCTGCCTGTTCTACTCCCTACTCTGTCTCTGGTAAAGCCTCTCACCCCCTGCATCTCTGGCCTGCACCCCAGCTCTTATATGCATAAATAAATAAAACTTAAAAAAAAAAAGAAAAGAAAAAGAGGGAATGCCAGGATTGGGGGTCCCAGTGGAGTCACAGTACGAGAAGGATGTAGTGCAGAGAAAGGACTATTTTACATTGTTCAGTGAGGTAGGAGGTGCTTGGTGATGTAAATTCCTAGAAGTGTCTCTAACTTGAGTTAGAGAGAAAACTCCCTCAAAGTCCTTAAAGAGACTCTGGCCTTTGGAATATTCTGTTTGATTTATGGTGTATGAATGCAGTAGTTCACTGATAAGGAATGTGTGTCTCTCTTTGTCAAGCCTCTCCTTGGTGGATACTAATCTACCATCTGAAATGGAGCCAGAGCTGCGCAGTTTCATTGCTAAGCGTCTTTCCAAGGGAGCAGTCTTTGAAGGGCTGGGTAATGTTGCATCTGTGGAGCTGAGGTAAGTGTAAAATGTGCTGTGTCTTGAGTTTTTATTTCTGAGTTAAATATGAGAAGTGGTGAGAAACACCAAAAGATCAACCTTTATTAAACCTGCAGTGTTCATCTCTTTCCTCTGGCAGCCAAAGCACTAGGCCACACACTTAAACATTTATGGATGAAATTCATTGACTAGCGGAGACCCTACCTTCCAGGTGTACTTAATTTCATTTTGTACTTGGAAGAAATGAATTAATTACCCAAACTGAAACTGTATACTTGGCATTTGTAAGGTGCTTTCACAGATTTTGATGCCATTCTCCCTATAAAAGGAAGCAGCAGATAGACACTCTTAATTTCAGTTTCAGTTGAGGAAATAAACTCTTAAGTTAGGTCACAACACTGATTACATCAGTGGCATTCAGGCTTAAACATAGGAATCCACTGTTGAATTCCAGCTCTCTTTCAATTACACCTCTTTTTTAAAAAAAGATTTACTGGGCCTCCCCCGTGGCGCAGCGGTTGAGCGCTGGGTTGCGAAGCTGCCCGCAGCCTCTGCAGCGCTGGTTCGATTCCCGGCTGCTCCCCGGCCACCAGAGGAGGGTCCCACATGGTGCGCAGACCTCTCCTGCCGCCCGCTGCTCCCCTCAGCAGTGTACTTCGGTCCTTCTGCCTGCTCTGCTCCCCGCTCTGGCTCTGGTGAATTCTCTCACCCTCCCGCACTTCTGACTGTACCCAGTGCATGTATAAACGAAAAACGAACAAACAAGTAAATAAATAAAACATGCCTCTATAAAAGAAAAAAAAAAAAACTTGCAAAACACTTTAAAAAAAAAAAATAAAAAAGATTTACTTATTTATGAATAGAAGTACTGGGGTATAGGCCAGATGTATGGGGGGTAAGGATTCACCAGAGACAAAGTGGGGAGCAGAACAGGCAGATCCACTGAAACACACTGCCAAGTGGGCAAGACAGGAGAGGTCTGTTGCGCCATATGTGGGCCATCTCCCTGACCAGAGAAAGACCCCAGGACGCAGTGGTTATAGTGCTGAGACTCAACCTCTAGGCCACCAGGGAGGCGCTCATTACATCACTTGATGGTAGTTCACTTCAGATCATGATGTTGGTATCAAGGATTATGGGCCACAGCCCAAAGATAAGGCCACTGGATAAATATGTTGCATCTGCCTAGAGCTTCAATACTTTGTGAAGGTTTGTGGAGGGAGAGAACATGCTTAAAGTAAACATGGAAAAACTATGAGTGAGTGAAATTCACGTGAATTTTTCACATAAGACAAGACAATTCAAACAGGGGCTACCTACCCTCGTGGTGCAAGGGGTTAAGAAGCAACCTATGAAGCAATCCGCAGCCTCTACAGCATGAGTTTGATCCCCGGCTGGCCAGGGAGCAACCCACATGGCGCAGCAGACCTCTCCTGACTCGCCCACTACTCCCCTCAGCAGTGTATTTCAGTCAGTCTGCCTGTTCTGTTCCCCACTCTGTCTCTGGTGAATCCTCTCACTCCCCCACACCTCTGACCTGTACCCCAGCTCTTGTATGCATAAATAAATAAATCTTTAAAAAAAAAAGAGAGAGAGAATTCAAACAAGTTCCATGTTTGTCAGGTGCTGCTTTAGTTAAAGGCCATCATGGAATATGTTTTATTTCCTCTGCTATTACAAGGAAACCAAGGAAAAGTCTGGGAAGCTCTCGCTAGTGGGCAGTCTAACAGTATTGCCAAATCAAGATGTCCAGGCTTTAGAGCAAGCCACAAATTAGATGTATCAGTTATCAAAATAATACATTTTACCTTTTTCTTTTCTAGAACCCCAGGTTATCGGGTCGGATGTTATTACTGCCTTTTCCAACAAGAAAAACCGCTTCCTGAAACAGCAACAACGGACTCTGAGAGTAACACTTCAGAGTATGTGGTCTGTTTTTTAGGAGGTTCTGAAAAAGGACTTGAGCTATATCCTTTCTTTGGTCTTTGAGAATATCAGGAAATTTTGGGAAGGCAGTGGATTAACTACTAACCTCTAGAAAGCTTTTCTTTCCTTCTTTCTTTCTTTCTTTCTTTCTTTCTTTCTTTCTTTCTTTCTTTCTTTCTTTCTTTCTTTCTTTCTTTCTTTCTTTCTTTCTTTCTTTCTTTCTTTCTTTCAAGATTAATTAATTAATTAAATATATTTTAAAAAGATTTATTTATTTATTTATACAAGCACTGGGTACAGTCAGAAGTGCGGGAGGGTGAGAGAATTCACCAGAGCCAGAGCGGGGAGCAGAACAGGCAGAAGGACTGAAGTGCACTGCTGAGGGGAGCAGCGGGCGGCAGGAGAGGTCTGTGCGCCATGTGGGACCCTTGCCGGAGGCCTGGGATCGAACTGATGCTGCAGAGGCTGCGGGCAGCTTCACAGCCCAGCGCTCAACCGCTGCGCCACCAGGGAGGGCACAAGATTTATTTATTTATGAATAGAAGAACTGGGGTGTAGGCCAAAGATGCAGGGTTGGGGGAAGGTTGAGAGAATTCACCAGAGACAGTGGGGAGCAGAACAGGCAGATCTACTGAAAGACACTGCTGAGGGGAGCAGCAGGCAAGACAGGAGAGGTCTTCTACGTTATGTGTGTCAGCTCCCTGGCCAGGGATCGAACTCAGTCTCTAGCGGTGATAGCATGAGACTGAGATTTAACCCCTAGGGCACCAGAGGCCCTAGAAAGCTTTTCTTTTCTTTTTTTTTTTAAGATTTAATTTATGCATACAAGAGCTGGGGTACAGACCAGAGGTGTGGGGGGTGAGTGGATTCACCAGAGACAGAGTGGGGTGCAGAACAGGCAGACTGACTGAAATACACTGCTGATGGGAGCAGTGGGCAAGAAAGAAGAGGTCTGCTTCGCTGTGTGGGTTGCTCCCTGGCTGGCTGGGGATCGAACTCTGCAGAGGCTGCGATTGCTTCATAGTGCGGTGCTTAACCCCTTGTTCACCAGGGAGGCCCCCAGAAAGCTTTTCTACCCCTCTGTATTTACTTGAATTTTTTGTCTTCCTATGACCAGTTTATCTTGGCTTATTTTAATCACAGTTTGCATCATTTGAGAATTGTGTATTGAGAGATAAAACAGTACTTTGATGTATCCTTTATTGCTTCCTTAAGAACACACTTTCAGACTTGAATTGGACAAGTATATTCAAGGGCTAAGAAATAACCTGAACTGCGAGGTAAGGTGAATCATTTAATAGGGTTTTTTTTTAAAGATTTATTTATTTATTTAAGCAAGCACTGGGGTACAGTCAGAAGCGTGGGAGGGTAAGAGAATTCACCAGAGCCAGAGCAGAGAGCAGAACAGGCAGACTGACGAAGTACACTGCTGAGGGGAGCAGTGGGCGGCAGGAGAGGTCTGCGCCATATGGGACCCTCACCCAGCGGCCGGGGATCAAACCGGCGCTGCAGAGGCTGTGGGCAGCTTCGCAACCCAGTGCTCAACTGCTGCACCACCGGGGAGGCTCTCATTTAATAGTTTTTTAAGACAGAGATGTTTAATATACTGTAATGACATAGTTATCAGACCATACAGGTGGACACCTAAATTCTGAAAAAGTGCTACTTTGTGGGTAGTAGAAAGATGATTGTTAAAAGAAACAGAAATGTAGTCCTATATATGCTCCTGATGTTTTGTATACATGAAAAATTCAGTTCTTTAAATTCCATGGCATCTGGTAGTACACCAAATGAGGAAAAGATGCTCTTTGCCTGATTTTTAGGAACATAAGCTTTATATTCTGGTTAGAACCAATGATCCATGATACTATGCTTCTGGCACTGGACATAATACACAGTGTTATGACTATCTGCATTTCAATGTTTAAGACTTTGGGGAAACATTCTATTTTTCATTAATTTGTCTTTTATGAGTTACATACATCCATATCAATTAATTCATTAATTTATCCATACCTTTTAAGAACTATGCATTCAACTTGTTGCAATTGTTAAAGCCATGTCTCTTATAAGTTTGCGACCCATTACATGTGGTAATGATTCCTTTTACATATTACTGCAGAAGAGGAAAGGGTAGCATAGGAATGAGCCAGGGACCTGTGTCCAGAGGAAGCTCTCCCAAGCTGGAGCTATTCCTGGCTGACACTAGTCCCCAGAGAGTAGTACAGCCAGGAAAGCCAAGCATGCTCATGCACGGCAGCATGTCTGACGACTGGAGTGGGCTTGAGTGCTCTGACAAGTTAACTTTTCTTCCTTATTCACATTTGGAATGTGAATGAATTCTCTGTCTACACTCATTTATTCACCAGGCATATAATAAGCTCATACACGGATATTTCAGACCCTGCAGCAGGGGCTGGAGAGACAAGGATTTCTAAGAAAGTATCTCCAGTGAGTAGTGTGTGTGGTGTGTGGTGGGGGGATGCCCAGCTCTTGCCAGTGAAGAAATAACATGGGACCCTGTTCAGTCTCTTCCATTTATGTAAACATTTCTTAGTAGATCTTTTAAGAAACTCAGTACAGAATTGATCCTCAATCCTTTAATTTCTGACATGCCCAGGAAAGTTGTATCCTAATTCCTTTTTCTGGAGTTCGTAGTGTTAGCTTAAAAAAGGAGGTGTATGTTGCCAGTTCTTTTTACTGACAGAAGTATGGAGAAGAAAATGTGAAGTCCTCTAAGCTGTGTTAAGTCCATTTGCTTTTGTTAAAGCAAATGACATTCTCTCTTAATCTAGGAAAGGGGTCTGGAAAACCACATAAAATCCTACCTGAGCAGCTGGTTTGAAGATGTCGTATGTCCAATCCAAAGGGTGGTTCTTCTCTTTCAGGAGAAGCTCACCTTTCTGCTACATGCTGTAAGTATTCCCCAAACAAAAGCATTTCCTTACTCAAGAATCACTGTGGCATGGGAGCCTCCCTGGAGGCTCAAGGGGTTAAGCACAGCACTGTGAAGCTGTCCTGCAGCCTCTGCAGCACAAGTTCGCTCCCCAGCCAGGCAGGGAGCAACCCACATGGCGCAGCAGACCTCTCCTGTCTCGCCCACTGTTCCCCTCAGCGGTGTATTTCCATCAGTCTGCCTGTGCTGGTCCCCACTTTGTCTCTGATGAATCCTCTCACTCCCTGCACCTTTGGCCTGTACCCCAGTTCTTGTGTGCATAAATAAATAAATCTTAAAAAAAAAAAAAAAGAATCACTGTGGCAGAGTTTGGATTATTTAGAGACATTATTATCTTTGAACATTGCTCCCCCCAGCCCCTAGTATCCATTCAAACTATGCTTGCTAGGGAGGGCCTCTCTGGTGGCACAGGGGTTAAAGACACAGCATTATCAAGCTATTGCCAGCCATTGCAATATGAGTTTGATCCCCAGCCAGGGAGCTAACCCACATGGTGCAGCAGACCTCCTATCTTGCCTGCTGCTCCCCTCAGCAGTGTATTTCAGTAGATCTGCCTATTTTGCTTCTCACTCTGTCTCTGGCGAATCCTCTCATCCGCCACACCTCTGGCCTATACCCCACTTCTTTTTTTTTTAAGATTTATTTTATTTATTTATGCATATAAGAGCTGGGGTATAGGCCAGAGGTCTGGGGCAGGGGAGGGGGGTGGTGAGAGGATTCACCAGAGACAGAGTGGGGAGTAGCACAGACAGACTGACAGAAATACACTGTTGAGGGGAGCAGCGGGCGAGACAGGAGAGGTCTGCTGCACCATGTGGGTAGCTCCCTGGCTGAGGATCAAACTTCTGCTTCAGTGGCTGCTGATAACTTGATAGTGTTGAAACTAAACCTCTCGGCCACCAGGGAGGCCCACACACCCCATTTCTTGTATACATAAGTAAGTAAATCTTTAAACAAACAAACTATGCTTGCTATTAAGATTTTTTTTTGGGCCTCCCCGGTGGCGCAGCGGTTGAGCGCTGGGTTGCAAAGCTGCCCGCGGCCTCTGCGGCGCCGGTTCCATCCCCGGCTGCTTCCCGGCCACCGGAGGAGGGTCCCACATGGCGCGCAGACCTCTCCTGCCGCCCGCTGCTCCCCTCAGCAGTGTACTTCGGTCCTTCTGCCTGCTCTGCTCCCCGCTCTGGCTCTGGTGAATTCTCTCACCCTCCCGTGCTTCTGACTGTACCCAGTGCATGTATAAACAAAACAAACAAACAAATAAAGAAAGAAAGAAAACATGCCTCTATAAAAAAAAAAATAAAGTGTACACTTCCATGTTTAAAAAAAAAAAAAAAAAGATTTTTTTTTTTGTATTTACTGTATTTGCTCATAGTTACATTACTATGGTAGGATTGCAAATACTGAGTCTTCCTGGTAAGTAATTTTAAGTAATTACTTTTTGAAGTAATCTGGGAGATGTATACTTTTCAAAAAATTGGAAATTGGAGTAGGAAAACAAAAATTCCAAATGGTTTCTACTATATAAGTATCCAAATGAAAAAATGAAAAATTCCCAGACAAGGAAGTCTTCAATAAATGGCTCAGTTTTTCATTTAAATATGTATTTGGGGGGCCTCCCCAGTGGAGCACAGCGCTGTAAAGCTGTCCGCAGCCTCTGCAGCGCAGGTTGGATTCCTGGCCGGCCAGAGAGATTCCCACATAGCACAGCAGACTTCTCCTGCCGCACCTGCTGCTCCTCTCAGCAGTGTATTTCAGTCGTCTGCCTGTTCTGCTCCCCACTCTGTCTCTGGTGACTCCTCTCACCCTCCCACACCTCTGGCCTGTGCCCCAGCTCTTGTATAAAAATAAATAAATATTTAAATAAATAAATATGTAGTAGGTAAGGGCAACTGTGCTGGCCTAGAGGGTAAGTTGCAACGCTATCACCGCCATAGCCTGAGTTCGATCCAGGGCAAGGAGCAACCCCACATGGCGCAGCAGGCCTCTCCTGTCTTGCCCGCTGCTCCCCTCAACAGTGTATTTCGGTAGTTCTGCCTGTTCTGCTCTCCACTCTGTCTCTGGTGAATTCTCTCACCCCGTGCACCTCTGGCCTACACCCCAGTTCTTCTAAATAAATAAGTCTTAAATAAATAAGTCTTTAAAAATAAGATATAAATAAAGACATAAATAAATAAATCTTAATAAGTCTTAAAATAAATAAGTATAAGTAAATATGTCTTAAAATAAGACATAAATAAATAAGTCTTAAAAAAAATGTGGTGGGTAAATGCAACTGAGACAGGATGGTCCGTTGAGGGAGGGGGCACAGCATTGTTTCAGGCTAAGCATGGTTTGGGAGAGCTCCAGGGTTGTGCCCATCAAGCATCTTCTGAGGAAAGTGATGTTTAGTCATGAGTAGCTGCTCTACCAGGAAAACTGTTATCTGTGAAGCTTTTTATTCTCTTGTAGGCCCTGAGTTATACTCCTGTCGAGGTTAAGGAATCAGATGAAAAAACAAAGAGAGACATTAACAGGTAATGAACATCATTTTTGGAAAGAGAGGAACTTTTTATGTTTTTTTTTTTTTTTAAAGATTTATTTATTTATTTATACAAGCACTGGGTACAGTCAGAAGCGCGGGAGGGTGAGTGAATTCACTAGAGCCAGAGCGGGGAGCAGAGCAGGCAGAAGGACTGAAGTACACTGCTGAGGGGAGCAGCGGGCGGCAGGAGAGGTCTGCGCGCCATGCGGGACCCTCCTCCAGTGGCCGGGGAGCAGCCGGCGATCGAACCGGCGCTGCAGAGGCTGCAGGCAGCTTCGCAATCCAGTGCTCAACTGGTGCGCCACCAGGGAATCCCCACTTTTTATGTTTTTAAAGCCCCCTTAGTGCAGAATGAATTTGCTTTCTCCATCCTGTCCTTCATTACTGTTGATGGAAAAGGACTTTGTGTGTCCAGGTTTCTGAGCGTGGCCAGTCTTCAAGGCCTTATTCATGAAGGCACCATGACATCTTTGTGCATGGCCATGTCGGAGGAGCAGCACAAGTCTGTCGTCATCGACTGCAGTAGCTCCCAGCCTCAGTTCTACAATGCAGGTGAGCTGCATCTCTGAAACAGCTTTCTTGGGGCTCTGATGTGTCTCCTTTTTTGCACTCAGAACCAGTGATTCAGACTTATCCTTCCTTCCATCTGCTATTTGACATGTTTATCCCAAACTCACCAAAACCAATATTAATTGTAGGAACATGGAAATCACATCATGCCTAGCAGTTCCATTCCCGTGTACATAGAGAAACGCTTATTATGTACATAGAGACAAATATAAAAATGTTTATAAAGGCATTGTTTGAAATAGCAAAAAATTCGAAGCAGCTTAAATGTCAATCAACAGGAAAACTATTTTCAGATAGTGAAATACAGTATAGCAGTGAAATAAATGAACTAGAGCTATGTGTCTCAGTATAGCTTGTACATACACTATTTAGTGAAACAGACATTTAGGAAAAATACGTAAGGGTTTAACATACCCAAGATAACACTACATAGGGTTTAGAGATAAAAACAGTATGTGGCAAAAGTTTAAAGAAATTCATGGAAATGATAACTCTATCTGATGAAAAGGAAGAAGGGGGTTGAAGTTGGTACGAGGCACATAGGGACGTCAACCATTGTGTTATTTCCTAACCAAGTGGTGAGTACAGTACTTTTTTATACCATTGTAGATGTCTTAAATAATTCACTATAAAAAGAAATAATTTATAAAAAGAAAGAATATCTTCCACTTTGTAGGATTTCATTTTATTTATTTACTTTTTCTATAATATAGGAAGCAACCGGTTTTGTGAGGATTGGATGCAGGCTTTTTTAAATGGTGCTGAAGGAGGTAACCCTTTTCTTTTTCGACAAATAGTGGAGAACTTTAAACTAAAGGTAAGTAGTTGGCGGTGTGCCAAGTACCACCTAATTTTTGTTTGAATTTTAATTAGTATCAGTAGCAGAGTAACAAGTCTTTACAGCAGTGATATCTATTAAGTAGGACATTCTCAAACCTAGTATCTTCAGAAGACTATTAGTTTTTGCATTTTTCACTGGCTTCTGCATACATATCATTTTATTTCTAATTAATTGGGTTGAATGCTTATATCTTAGGGACGTCAGTCTTATAATTTGTGACATGTCTTAGTTGGAAAGCACATAAAAAGTGGTTCAGTGCCTAAGGGTTCAAAATTCTGGTGGGAAGTGGCCTGTTATCACCTTACTTAGGAGAGTTTAAGTAATTTTACTTTATATAAGAGATTTTGTTCTTATATATTGAAAAAGCACATTAGTGATAGAAAATGACAAATATTTAAAATAAAAAGCAAACATCTCACAACATACTGAGTTCTCAGGTAGATAGGAGGGTTTTTTTTAAAAAAGTTTTACTTTTATTTATGCATACAAGAAACTGGGGTGTAGGCGAGGGGTGAGAGGATTCACCAGAGGCAGAGTGGGGAGCAGAACAGGCAGATCTACTGAAATACACTGCTGAGGGGAACAGCAGGTGAGACAGGAGAGGTCTGCTACACCATGTGGGTTTCTCCCTGGTTGTGGATCAGATCAAACTCAGGCCTCAGTGGTTGGTGATTGCTTGATAGTGCTGAGACTTTAACCCCTGTGCCACCAGGGAGGCCCCGGTAGGAGGTATATTTTAGGCTTCATTGTTATCTTACTGAACACATCTTTAACTGGGTATCCTTTTCTAGGCCATACAAGACACAAATAATTTGAAGAGATTTATCCGACAGGCAGAAATGAATCATTATGCTTTATTTAAATGTTACATGTTCCTAAAGAACTGTGGTAGTGGAGACATCCTTTTGAAGATTGTTAAAGTGGAGCATGAAGAAATGCCAGAAGCCAAAAATGTGGTAGCTGTCCTGGAAGAATTTATGAAAGAAACTCTCTCCCTAAGTTTTTGATCATAAGTTTTGAGATGATTATATTGTGAAGTTGTACATTGGAGCCTTGGTGGTGGTGTAATTGTTCAGAAGATTGCTATTTAAGATTATCTGAAATGCATTCCAGGTATCTTCATTTTTTACTTTTAAATTTTAACTTAATTAAACATAAAAATCTGAGGAACAGCTTCACTGAGTCATAGATAAATATATATTGGAGTTGTAGAATTTTGGTATTATCTCTGGTGCCATAAATTTAGACTTACAAAGTTGTTGGTTAAAAAACTCCAGGGGTGATTTTTGTGGCTTCTCCTAGAAGTTTGCTGTAGTATTTAGAAATTTTTCCTCCCAGAAAAATCATAATACTTCTCAATAAATTACAGCTTCCTTAAAAAATAATTCCTAGTTTAGGGCAGATTAGCACAGTCACACCATCTCAGAGACAGATATGTGCATCCTGTGGGTGCTTGACAGATTTTTTTTTTTGGTCTGGTTGATAATGGCATGAACAATGAAACCAGCTTTAAGTCAATGTGCAAATCATGAGTCTGTAAGAAATTAAAAAGAACTTAAATATAAAGCATTGTTTCTGATAGAAAGCTCCTGCAGATTGGCCCCTATCTTCATTTATTCACAGTTATTTTCTTTTAGATGAAAATGTTGGAGTTTTTAAACAATGTCCAGAAAAAGAAACAAAGGACATAAATTTTATAAGCAAACTGTAATATAAAGAACAGAGTTACTCATTGATTTTAGTTTTTTGTACATCTGTTACAAGCCTCATATTGTTTTACTCTGAATCAGTTGAAAGCACTCTCAGCTAGAGCCATCTATAATTCCCATGGAAGCAGATTGTAGCTACACACACCATTACAGTTTGTTCTGCATAGCTCTTTAATAAGTCCATTTGATAATGATTTTTTTGTTTAGAAGATCAAAAGTCTTGTATTCTCACTGCCCTCAGGATGCTCAGAGGAATACAAGCCCATAAAAGTGAGGAATCCTTTCTTAAACTCATCTGAATTCACATTAAGTGCTGAGTTTTAACTTTTGAAATGACTGACAATGGCCTTCTCCTTTCTCCTTTACAAAAGTCTGTGGACATGACTCATCAAGCCATTTCTTTTCCTTTAATGAGAAATACAATTCAGGATCTTCATAAAGGCTTTCATATGGTTTTAAACTTTAATAACTTGGATTGTAGGCAGTGTAGAAAAAAATCTAAACACTTCATAGCATTAAATTCAGAACTATGGGAAATCAGCAATTTTATGACACTACGTTTGAATCTGAGTTTTTCTAATGTACCTTGTTGCTCACTTGGAAATCATTTTTTTAATAAGCATAATTAGAATGTTGACATTTTGAGCCTGGGAATTATTTTTCATTTTCAAATTCACAGCTCATTCGTGAGTCCATGTTGTAAATGATATTTAAAGCAAATGCTTCAAATCACTTTATGATTATAGGCAACGTATATTTAATATATTCTTTACATGTATTTATGTACATGTACATATTTTGTAATGTAGACTCACTAAATTACACAGTTGTATACAATACAATCTTATTTTAAGTCTGTGACAGGCCGCATGTCACTGCTGTCAATAAGGAAACTGGTGACATGGAATTACCTTGTTGGCCATGAGAAGAAACTCACAGAGCTCATGACCAGAAACATGTACTGTATTCAAATTTCGATAAGCTAATGTACTAACTTTTAAAATTTTAAAAAGGATTTGTTCAGCTGTGGAATACATTTGTGTACTTTTTGTATGCTATACAGACGAAATGTATGTCATGGAAAAATGGTTTCATTTTATCTGTAATTACATTTGTAATAATAATAATAATAATAATAGCAACTTAGTTTTTCACCAACGCAGTCATTTTTATTTAATGAGCTTGCTTCTCAAGCCTAACATTTTTACTAATTTGCAACAAGTTTATGGGGAAATTATACTTATTATGCTAAGGAATTTGTTGAAGAAAACCAAGTTGCCTGCTGGGATACACCCTTCTGCATCAGGCAGGGTATAAGAGCAATTTCCATCACAATGTTTTATTCATTGTCTAGCAAAGTTGCACGTAGAACTCAATAACCCAAGTCATCCTCTTTCTCTTATTTATTATTGACCATGACAGAATGCCTGTCTTTTTTTTTTAAGATTTATTTATTTATGCATACAAGAGCTGGGGTACAGGCCAGAGGTGTGTGTGTGGAGCGGAGGGTGAGAGGATTCACCAGAGACAGAGTGGGGAGCAGAACAGGCGGGTCTACTGAAATACACTGCTGAGGGGCACAGTGGGCAAGTCAGGAGAGGTCTGCTGCGCCATGTGGGTCACCTCCTTGGCCAGGGATCGAACTGGTGCTCATGCTGCAGTGGCTGCCAATAGCTTCATAGTGCTGAGACTTAACCCCTTGCACCACCAGGGAAGCCCAGAATGCCTGTCCTTTACTAGAGGCTCACTTATGCCAGATGCTAGGAAAAACTACAGGCTTTTTGGAAGTAAGATTCAGTTACTGGGACCACGCTTTCCTAACCATGTGTCCTCTCAGTAATGGAAATCCTCCTGGCTTGCATGAATTCTTTCCACTTGGAGTTCTAAGAAGGCAGTTCCAGTTCTACAATTGCTAAATTTCCTAACAACCTGTGCTTTCACAGACTTTAAAACATATGGATACATCTGAGTTAGCAGTTCTAGATTCTGGAATCAGGGTTGATAGGAAGTAGTAATATATAATAGCTGTAGATTTTCTTATAAATACTTCTAGGAGGGCTGACCAAGTGGAGATCCTTTTGAGTGAACACCAAGTGAATATTCCAAGTTAATTACTATGACTGGATGCACCCCCCTGCCCCACCCCCCCCCGACACAGTTCAGTGAGGCTGAACTTTATTTTTTTTTTTTTTTAAGATTTTATTTATTTATTTATTTATTTATACAAGCACTGGGTACAGTGAGAAGCGCAGGAGGGTGAGAGAATTCACCAGAGCCAGAGCGGGGAGCAGAGCAGGCAGAGGGACCAAAGTACACTGCTGAGAGGAGCAGCGGGCGGCAGGAGAGGTCTGCGCACCATGTGGGACCCTCCTCCAGTGGCCGGGGAGCAGCTGGGGATCGAACCGGCGCCTCAGAGGCCGCGGGCAGCTTCGCAACCCAGCGCTCAACCGCTGCGCCACCGGGGAGGCCCGAGGCTGAACTTTAAACAGCACCCTGACACAGTGTCCTTGAAGTCCTATACAAATAACCTGAGACTGAAAGCATGAGCTTTGGAACCAGGCAGCAGTCTGGGGAGTGAATTCAGAGCCATGTCCTTCCAGCAAATTATTAAAGAATTTTCTAAGCTTTTCTTTAATCTGTACCTACTTCACACCAAATAGCGGTGTGACTAAATGAGAGTAATATATTGAAATGCCTCACCCAGTGTCTGGCACATAGTAGGAGCTCAGTAAATTAACTCTATTTCCTAATTACTTTATCAACATACATCAAGTTTTTTGGTTTTTTTTTTTTTTTAAACTTATTAAATCAATGACAATTTGGTGGGAGGGAGGAACCAGAAAAGAGGGAATGCTAGGTCAAGGGCAAAGCTAACTACACAGTCTCTGGCTGGTCAGAGTGCTCACCTTTAATGCTCAGGGGTTAGATTCTAAAACTGCCCAGTGAGAACGTCAGTGCTCAGAGAGGGTCCCCAATTTTCCTGTAGGGAGGTCAGTTCTCCACATTCCAAACAAGTGGGGTCTTTGTCCTTCATTCTGAACTGTTCTCTAAAGTTGTTCTGGGATGACTCCTGCAGTGTTTAGAAAATGATACACAGGAAACTGATGTGAAAGAACATTATGGCAAACAACTCCCACACTGAAGTTAATGGGATAATTTAATTCTCAAAGGAAATTTAACAGTTATGAGTGACAAAACTATATACACTGCCAGTGGCTCAGAAAAACTGGTAAAAACAATTCACTTTCTCAGCCTCTATCCATTCAAAGCCCATTTGATTGTTAAACTCACCAAGTACCAGGCTTACCTTTGATGCTTCTTCTCTTTATTTTTATTTTTTATTTTTATTTTTTAAGATTTATTTATTTATACAAGAACTGGGGTACAGGCCAGAGGCGTGGGAGGGTGAGAGAATTCACCAGAGACAGACTGGGGGGCAGAACAGGCAGATGGACTGAAAACACTGCTGAGGGGAGCAACGGGCGAGACAGGAGAGGTCTGCAGCGCTATGTGGATATCTCCCCAGCCAGCCGGGAATCAGGAATCGAACCTGCGCTGCAGAAGCTACGGATGGCTTCACAGTGCTGCGCTCAACCTGCTGCACCACCCGGGAGGCCCTCTTCTTAAAGATTTATTTATGCATACAAGAACTGGGACTTAGGCCAGAGGTGTGGGGCGGGAGGGGGAGTAGGGGGGAGAGGATTCACCAGGGACAGAATCGGGAGAACAGGCGGATCCACTGAAATATACTGCTGAGGGGAGCAGCGGACGAGTCAGGAGAGGTCTGATGCTCCATGTGGGTAGCTCCCTGGCCGGTGATTGAACTTGTGCTGCAGTGGCTGTGGATAGCTTCATAGTGCTGCGTCTTAACCCCTTGCACTGCCAGAGAGGCCCTGATGCTTCTCTTACTACATTTATGCCCCCCCTTACCTTCCTTTTCTGTGTATGAACTGACCATGTCTTTTCCCCCTGAGAACCTTCCTATACCGCCTCAAGATCAAGGTGTTGACAGCCCTTAGGAATACCTAAAGACTAAGATTGGGACAAAGAAGGAAGTACCTAGGTATTTCGAAGATTCTTCTAATAATAAGTCAAAATATTAGTCTCTCACAGGGAAAGATATGTAAGAGTGAAAAGACAGTGTCACTGAGGTTCTTGACCTGAAGCCATGAATGAGTTCCTTATTCATGTTTCCCCAGACCCCAAAATGTACACGTTGTCTGTGCTCTTATATGGGAACTCATATCTTTCGTACCTACTCAAAAGAGTTCAGTGTTTCAAGAACTCTCAATTTGAGTTCTTAGCCACCAATCTAGAACCCCCTGGGCCACCCGATGCCCGGGCTGTACTGTATAAATTGTAGACCGAGCACCCCTGCTGTCCATCCTCCCACTACCCTGTCCCAGCCCAAGAGGAAACAGGTTCTAAAGCCCACCTTCAGGTCACTTCCTGAATAACAGATGGCTTAAAAAAAAATCTTTAATGGAATCTGTGCTCAAATAATATGTTACAACAAAAATATACAGAATGTACACAATACAAAAATATTTAGAAACAAACATTGCAGCTTGTGTTTTGTTTTTCCACTTACTCAAGTCTTTGGGGGCGAGTTCAGAGCTGGGTATGTTTTTAAGGCAGAGGAGTGTGGGTGTTCTCCAGCCAGCGCTGGGAGCGGCACCCACCATGCCAGGAGAGGCTTCCGCTGCACCGGGAATCTGCATTATTTGCAAATGAAATTGGATGCTGGGGAAAGATCCAGGCTTGGTGAACAGTGACTCCTCTAAGTCTCAGGGCAAGAATGGTTCTCATGGAAATTGAGAGTCCTATTAGCTGCAAAGAGCCTCATTAGGGAGCTTTTCCTAATTAAAAAATGAATGATTAATGGTGTCATTAAAGCAAAATTTCTCCTTTGAAGGCTTGCTTTCCTTTCCCCAGGTTCTGTGATTCCTCTTCCGTTTAACCAGCGGGCGAGTCTATGGCTGCTGTTTGGGGAATCCCCAGCTTTCAATTTCTGTATCCCTTGAGTGCAGGGCCGCCCTCTTTCCACAGCCTGAAGAGTCATACCACCCTCAGCTTCCTGGCATGCTGGGCGGGGCCACACTGGAGAGGGGGGGAGGGGTAATAGGGAGGTGCTGTGCGCTGGGGTGCAGGGAGCTAGGGAGGAAAGGCACCTGCTGTGGAGAAAGTCAGACACCATAAAGCAAAGCCTACCAGAGAGCTGTCTTGGGCCCTGGGTTGTTAGCACTGGCTGTTGTCAGCACTGGGTGGCCTTGCTTGGAAGTAAAGGGGTGGGGGGTGTGTATGTGTCAAGCAGCCAAAAGAACTTTTGGACACTCTGCTGAGGGAAGTGCAGTTGGTTCTGGTGGCAAGAGGTGTGCACCTGGGACTCCCTTAGTATGTCCCAATCCTCCAGGATGGCAGGTGGGATCCCCTCTCACGCAGTCCTTCTGGGTAACAAGCTTCCATTTCAAGCCCTGAGGGAACTGGGTGCTTCTCTGAGGGCTTTCTAGAGTCTTCTAGTTCACAGTCATCTCACCCCTCAGAGAGAAAGGCTCTTCTCCAGGTTGCACCAGACAAAGGCAAGGGTGGCTCTCTGCTCCCACTGCCCATAAGCCTGGGCCCCCTGGTGCCAGGACAAGATCTGAAGGGGAGGCCCTGCCTTTCAGTAGGGCACTGGCAGTCTCTGCCCCCCAGAAAGGCCAGCACCCCTCAGGTTAAGCCGCAGCTGCAACCTGTGACCAGGACCCCTCTGCTAAGAAGCTGATTCTTCCTTCTACATCTTTCTCTCAGGGGGGACAGACATTGGCAGCACAGACAAGATGCCCCACACTGATGCAGTCCACACCACCTGGGCCCATCCTACCTCAGTGGCTCAGCAGTGTTGGCACAGGACAGCAGCAGTTTAGAAGCCAGATATGGGCGCCAGAACAATTGATTTAGCATTGGGCAAAGGGCTTGGCATTGCTTGGGGTTCACCGGGGGAGTCCTTGGGTAGGAAGACCCTGCTCATTTACATGTGATCACTGGGTTCAGGAAGCCACAGCAATCTAAGTCCCCTGAATGCCTGGGCTGGTGACTCTGAAGCTCTGACAGGCATAAGCCCAGGACCTCTGCAGCCCGGACCTGGGGTTCTTCCTCCTTTCTCACTAGTGAAAAGGGGGTGGGGCGGACTTGGTAATCTCCAAGTTCTCCACCGCTCTGAGCATCTGAGTCTACAGCCGCTGTCACCTCCGTGGGTACAGGGCCACCCTCTCTCCACTTCCGACACTCACCCAAGCACTCAACAATTCTTCTCTAGAAGCAGTTTCCTCCATACTTGAAATTCCTCCTGTGCCTCCAACTCAAATCAACACATGGCCTCCATAGTTCTTCCCCAGTCTCCCTTGCACCCCCAAAACTCCTTCTCGCCAAAGGGAGAGAGAACAGAATCTGCACATATGAAAGTCATCCCAGAGGGAAACAATAACAGAGCTCGGCAAAGGCGAGGAAAACCTCAGCATCCTGAGGGCCTCTGGAAAGGCCTTAGTCTCTATCTCCAACAATTCTCTTGGTCAATCCCTGATCAGTGATTCTGAGGGAGAGGCTTGGAAGGATGGGGGATGGGACAGGAGAAAGCAAGCTTTGCTTAAAAAATGCAAAGATGCTCAGGACCCCTCTCATGCTCCTCACATACTCCCACTGCCCCTCACTGGCTTCCTCTGCAGTCTCCCCAGCCTCACATCAGCTTTCCCACCACATGGGCATCTCTGCTTACTAAACCACACACACACACACACACACACACACACACACATGCGCACATGCACACACATGTGCATGAATACGCCAGAACACTGTCTCCATAACCAAAGGAGAGGCACGATGTGGGGTCAGGACAAAGGAAGGGTAAGAAAAGACCCCATAAACAAGGCAGGGCATGAGAGGCTGGGGCAGTGGTGTCAGTATTCTGGGAGAAAGGGAGAGAACAGTCTAAAGTTGGTCCCGGGCCTTCCCTAGGGCGGAACTTAGCATGCAGTTTATTCTCTCCTGCTTGGGTTCACCTTGCTGGGTTCCTCCCAGGCACGGGAGAGAGTGGAATTACAGCATCTTCCTTCTTTGCCACCAGAGCATGAGAGGTCATGCCTCAGTGCCCAGCGACAGGCACAGGGGGGCAGCCTGGGCTCCCCCAGGCCAAAGTCAACATGTCCACTACCAGGTCCTCTGCTCTAGAGCTCCAGACCCAACAGCTGCAGGGGAAACACTTCCTGGTTTGTAACTTGCTCTGGGCTGGACAGGGCCTGCCTGGCTACTGCACCCTCAGGTCTTTCTTATGTCTCTTAGGGTCTCTCAAGGTGGATGATGAGGGAGACAGCTGCTGTTTAATCTGTGACAAGGGAAAGGACCCCAGGACATGTAGAATAAGCCTAGCCCAAGGGGAAGGCCACTCTCACCCCACCCCAGGCCTTCACCCTGGACTGATGTACTCAAACAGTTTAGAAAAACAATGGCCACATCCATCTCCTCCAGCAGGTGCCTTTCAGAAAAGTCTCCAGTGTCTCCAAGTCTGAAGACAAACATCACAGCTGCCCAGCACCTCCTGTCCTTTCCTTCCGGCCTCACTGAGCTGGTGATGTGATAAAGAACACAGATGCACCTTTCTGATGCTGCTCCTCCCTCCCCTCCTTGGATCCTCCAGCTTCTTAGGGGGGTGGTGGCAGCTTTAAGTCCAGCAGGGTGTAGGCAAAGATGTTCCAGAAGATGGCGAATAGCACAAAGATGGTGTACATGGCCACAAAAATCCACCACAGCGATTGGTCCTGCAGCCTCTGCTCGTAGTTCCTCAGGACTACCACGCCCAGGGTGATGCCCACAGCCACTCCACCCAAGTGCGCCACAAAGCTTGGGTGAGGGCACGGGGGATAGGCCGACGGGTGGAACCGGAGCCACACGGCCCGCCCAAACTCCATGCTCACTGCAAGGGGGAGGAAGCACAGAGAGTCACAGGAGGGCCCCTGGGCAGGGACTGAGGCAGAGAGGCCTTGGAGCCATCCACCCATCCTCCCACCCATTCATTCATTCATTCACTGTCTAGTAAGCCAAGCACTGTTCTATGCCCTGCAGATGTAGTGTAGAAGGCAGATCTCTGTTCCCCCAGAGTTTCGAAGGTTGGGACCTAAGCCAGCATGCAAGCACCTACACAAGGTAATCTCAGGAAGAGAAAAGGCATAGGGAAAAACAGGTGATTTAAAAACAAAGCCAGGCATAAGGCAGGAGATTCTTTGCTTTGGGGAGTCTGGCAAGATCTCCCAAAAGAGCTGAGATGTGATCATCGAGAGAAGCCCCTAAGAAGAGCGTCCTAGGCAGAGGGGAAAGGCTCTCACTGATGCCCAAAGGCTCTACAGTCATGAGTTCTGGAAACTCAGTGTCCCCTTCAGGGTAAATTCTCAGCCCCAGCGGGCCAGGTTGCACTAATGGGACATGAATAACAACTTCAGTACATGCTAGAACTTTTAATAGTTTTCACGTTTTCACGCATTATCTCAAAACCCTTAGAAAACTCTCAGAATCAATGTTTTTGTGGTGGGAAGGAAGGAGTGGAAGGGAAGAAGGCCAAAGAAGGAATGGAAGTAAAGAATCCCACAAGTGTTGGAAATCATAACAGATTCTAAAACGCTCCCAGCCTGCTCTTCAGTTCCCCTTCCTTGTGTAAACTTATTGGGTCCGCCAACCCGGTGGGGGCGTATCCTCAGAAAGGACAGGTGGGGGACACCGCCGCTGCACGGCCCACCACCAAACGAATACCAAGGGTGGGTTTCTGACCCCCATTTTACAGATGGGGAAACGAAGGAAAATTTGATATATTTTTGAAAGTCCTTTGGAGGGAATTTCACACTTGCTCAATTACTATTTAATTAACCAGTGCCCACTCCCGGGTGCCAGCACCTCCTGGAACACTCATTCCCCTTGGGACTGCCTGACCTTCTGGACTTGCGACCTGCAACTCCAAGGATGGCCGATAGATGGCGGGAAAGCAACAGCCAGGGACGGACACAGAGCCTCCCGCCACCCCACCACCCACACCTCCTCCCTAGGCCCTGAGGCATCTTTCTAACAGCTTAATAGGCCCTCCCTGGGTTTCACTTGGGAGGTCTGAAAGACATTGGCATGCCATCCTAAACTGCCTAGTTTTTAGGCTGCTTAGAGTTGGGTTTCATTAAACAACAAGATTCATGCTTTTTTTTTTTTTTCCTCTTCTTTGAAAACAAACTCAGACAGAGCAGACAGGGAAAGCTATGCCCATCCACTGCAGCCCTCTGTTCTGGTTCATGGGATCCAGGGCTGGAAGGTCCTCTCTGGCATTAAATGGGATTGGTCCTCCAACCCCATGCAGACATAGAATGTGCTAATGGAATGAATGAAACCAGAGAGCCCTGCAAGTCATGGGCTAGGGAAGTGGGGGGTGGGGGTCAAAGTGGAGCCTGTGCTGGTGCTTCCTCCCTTCCAGGTTGGCTCAGGATCCTTCTTCCTCTTCCGCACGCAGGAGGTGGCACACCCAGGCAGAGACAGTCAAAGTGCCGCTGCTTAGCTTGGCTAAAGTGTGGGCACTAGAAATGGGACAGGCTGGCAGCGAATTCTGGCTTTACCACCTCTAGCTGAGTGGCCTTGGACAAGGAACTTCACTCTGAGCCTCGAGTATCTACTGTAAAGCAAGCCTGCTAATAAAAAGCCCTCATGGCGTGGTCTTCTGAGGACTGGATGACAGAATCTGTGCTCCCTCTTGTCTCTTCCTCCCTCTGTTGCTTCTGTTCCAACTCAGCTTTTTCTATCACAGAGAGAGCCTCTTGGCCTCTGGTCTCATCCCCCACAGTCAACTCATTCTCCACACTGCAGCCCCACCAATGTCCTGCAACTCCAATCTGTCAGTAACTCTCTTGTGGGAAGCCCTCAGTGACCTCTCCGTGCGTTCAGGATGAAGTCACACGTTTCTCCTTGCATCTAAAGCCTTTCATGACCTCACTCCTATTATCTCTCATCACAATCATGCACAGACCCAAATCACATGTCAGTTTTGCTAACATCGCTTGCTGGTGATGGCCCTTCATCCGCCCGTGTCTTTGTTCATGCGGCACCTTTGCTGGAAATGCCTTTGGACTTAGTCTACACGGTGACCCTGTCTGTCTGTCTTTAACACTCAAAATAGTCTCTGCAGGTGGCCCTGACTTCTTCCCAACTAGGGCCCTCCCCCAGTTTTCACAGGGGCCTTGGTTATAATTTGTGAACTTGCTAAAACTGCAAGACTGTGTGCGTGTAGGCACACAGGTGCACATATGTGCATTTTTCTGGGGAGAAGGATCCTAGTTTCTATCAGGGGATCTCAAAACATCGGTGTCATGACCCAAAGGGTTATTAAGAAGTTCTTTTTCCTGATCTGGGTACTTGAGTTTGTCCTGTGTGTACTTTTCCGTTGGCACATTCTATGTCCACAGAAAGTTGCTGAGAGCCGAAGTGGTAGTAGAGCAGGACTCCTCTCGCTGTATTACTGACTTGTCTGCTCTTGTTTCCTTGCCCGGGAGCCCCTTGAGGGCAGGGACATGCCATCTTTACGTCCCAGGCCTGCTGCAGGGCTCCCTTTCCCCAATCTGCCCCACGCACCCCTGAGGTACTTACTACAGATCAAGGCCACAGCCATCCGCAGCAGCTTGAACTGGCACTTCATGCCTGACCAGTTCTAGGGGAAAAGGAGAGAGTTCCGTCAGTTCCAGATCAGGCCAGCGTAGAAGACTTTTTTCCCTTCCAGCACACAGCAAGTTTATTTATTTTTAGAAGATTTATTTTTATTCATGTATACAAGAACTGGGGTCTAGGCCAGTGGTGCAGGGGATGAGAGGATTCACCAGAGACAGAGCGGGGAGCAGAACAGGCAGATCTACTGAAATACACTGCTGAGGGGAGCAGCGGGCAAGACAGGAGAGGTCTGTTGCGCCATGTGGGTAGTTCCCTGGCTGGGGATAGAACTCATGCTGCAGTGGCTGCCAATAGCTTGAGAGCACTGAGACTTAACCCCTGCACCAGCAGGGAGGGCCACATGGCAAGTTTATTAAGGAAAAGTATAAAAAGCAAAGAGAGGGAGGCAGGTGAGCAAGAAAACTTGATGTTTAAATAAATAATCTCCATTAAGTATTGCCTTAGGGGGTTATGGCTTAGCTGCGGATCACACTAGCTTGGCTTTGAGACTTGAGACAATGGTCAATTTATTGTTGCCATAAAAGCTCTTGGGCTGCACTAACAGAAGAGTCTGGATCCAGAGAGGAAGCCCCTCTCCCCTGCACGGACAGAAGGCGCTGAGAGTTGCAACAGTTGCTGGGGCTCATGCTCACAAAGGGGTGCAGGACAGCAAAGCAAAGTCCAAGCAGACACGACAGGATGATGAAAGAACTCAAAACCCTGTGTGTGAGGGTCGAATGAAGAGAAGACTCAGGGGTCAAGTTCAGGCGGCCAAGTTATCTAGTGAGCCAACACGGGAAATGGCATACGCTGTGTGACCAGCAAGTAGGAGACGAAAAGGATGAAACCTTCAGAGGTTTTTGTTTGTTTGTTTGTTTTTAGCTCAGGATAAGTACTTCGAACAAGGAGAGCTGTCCAAAGACGGAATCCCCCATCTTGGGGGATTGTGAGTTTTCCATGATTGAGGGGTCCACATGGCTTGGAGGGGATGCTCTAGAGAATTGGGCACTGGAAAGGGGGGGACCAGATGGCCTTCAGACAAATCCCTCTTTCCCCTGAGAATCTCTGAATACTCTGAACCCCCAAAGCAGATAAACAGAGTACAATTATTCATCTTATAAAAGGATTTTTCACTCTACAAAAGACTTCACCACAGGACTCCTTTGCAGGGCACTCCTGCAGTGCATTCAAAGCACCACTCCCTTTAAGCAGATGCGGGCGCGCGCACAGAAGCCAGCCTGGACCAGAAGCCAGCCTGGAATCTTCCTGGAACACATCAGCTCAAGGGAAGGAGGCAACTGTGTACAGCCAGGGGCTTCTGTTCCCTCCCACACACCCTTTCTGCCTTTGCCTCCTGGCCCAGGCCCATCTGGGGGGCATGTCTCACACTCCTTTGACATTGAGGGGACACACGTGAGACTTCGTGAGGGCCCTGAACACTGGCACGTACAATAATGCTACAGAAGCTTGAGTTGAGCAAGCATTATGCAGGGAAACTGCCAAAAGAGGGAGAAATCCTGTAGCATTGGGCGTCTTGTTCCCTCCCTCCCTTTCTCCGATTATTCCTCTGACTGGCAACTTCTTCACAAAGGCAAGGTGGGTGACACATGGCCCCTCTAGGTGGGAAACGTCTGATCTCGGCTTGCTCACAGGAGTCTGTGCTAAGGAGCAGACGGCAGGACGTCGTTGTCACCTGTTGACATCTGCCCACAGGGGAACCCTGCCAGGAGACGAAAAAAATGAGAGTTGGAGTCCCCTAATCTCTCTAGCACCCCAACCCACCCAGCTTGGTTCATTCACTGATGGTGGGTGTAGGTTGAACCGCTAAGATGGGTGGGTCCTTGGAGTCACCTGATGGACCATCTCCTCCCACAGTGACATACAAAGGGCCCTCCCGCCCCTGCAACAGGGAGCTCACTATGTCCCACAGCAAACCTGTGAAGGGGCTCCAATCTCTGCAAGTTCTTTCTGCCAGGATTTGCCTCTTTCTCAGGTCCACCCACTGGTCTTAATTCTCCCTTAAAAGTGACACCTATGTTGGGGCCTCCCTGGTGGCACAAGAGTTAAAGACACAGCACTATCAATCTATTGCCAGCCCCTGTGGGTCAGAGAGCTACCCACACGGTGCAGGCCTTTCTTGTCTCGCCCGCTGCTCCCCTCAGCAGTGTATTTCAGTCAATCCACCTGTTCTGCTCCCCACTCTGTCTCTGGTGAGTCTTCTCACCCCCCACCTCTATCTTACACCCCAGTTCTTGTATGCATAAATAAATAAATCTTAAAAAAAAGTGACACATATGTTGATAGAATACCATTTACAACAGGCAAGAAGCAGAAGCTACCCAGTGTCCATCCACAGATATACAAGTCAAGTATATACTCCATTACAGATGAGGGAATATTATTCAGTCTTAAAAAAGAAGGGTGTTTGACACATACTTCAGTGAACTTTGAAGACATTATGCTAAGTGAAATAAGAGTGTCACAAAGGGACACATATTACACTGTAGAATTCTATTTACATGAGGTACTTAAAGAGTAGTCAAATTCTTAGCAACAGATGGTTGCAGTGGGTAGGGTGGGGAGCCGTTGTTAGTGAGTAGAATTTAAATTCTGCAAGGTAAAAAACCTTCTGTGGGCAGATGGTGGTGATGACTGGACGACCATAAGAACACACTTAACACTAGTGAACAGTACACTGAAAAGTGGTCCAGATGGTAAATTTTAGGCCATGCATATATTTTTTTTTTTTTTTTTAAATAGAGGCATGTTTTATTTATTTATTTATTTGTTTTGTTTATACATGCACTGGGTACAGTCAGAAGCGCAGGAGGGTGAGAGAATTCACCAGAGCCAGAGCAGGGAGCAGAACAGGCAGAAGGACCGAAGTACACTGCTGAGGGGAGCAGCGGGCGGCAGGAGAGGTCTGCGCGCCATGTGGGACCCTCCTCCGGTGGCCAGGGAGCAGCCGGGGATCGAACCGGCGCCGCAGAGGCCGCGGGCAGCTTCGCAACCCAGCGCTCAACCGCTGCGCCACCGGGGAGGCCCCATGCATATATTTTTTTAAAGATTTATTTATTTTGATTACAAGAGCTGGGGTGCAGGCCAGAGATGGGGGGTGGTGAGAGGATTCATCAGAGACAGAGTGGGGAGCAGAACAGGCAGACTGACTGAAGTACACTGCTGAGGGGAGCAGCGGCTGAGTCAGGAGAGGTCTGCTGCGCCATGTGGGTAGCTCCCTGGCCGGGGATTGATCTCACATTGCAGTGGCTGTGGATAGCTTCATAGTGCTACGTCTTAACCCCTTGCGCCACCAGGGAGGCCCCAAGCCATGCATATTTGATAATGAAAAACAGACACCAAGAGTGATACAGAACACTCCCACTACCCCTTTTCTTCAGAAAAACACCTTACCTGAAGACATCGTCTCTCACAGTTCTGAGTGATGATTTGGCCAAGCAGGTCCAGAATGTACTTTAGCCGAGGTTCCACCCATCCCGGGCCCTACCTGGGTTTCATTTTAGAAAGTACCATCGTCTTTTTGGTCTGGCAAGAGCATCAGTGGGATGGCTCGGAATTTCTTTCTCTCTAGTATCTCCATTTGTTAATTTGAGATCATGATAGTGCCTATCTCAATTACCTACCTCACTGGGTTGTTGTGAAGGTAAAATGAATTAATACGCAGAGAGCACCAAGAATGCTGCCTGGCATGCGGTAAGCGTCATCTTAAGTGTCTGATATTAGCATCTATACATGAAGCAAAGATGGTGGGCTTGCCATGCAGAGAGGCTTTGTGACGTCTGCATGTCAGTGGCCGTGGATAGAGTCCGGGAGCTCCAGTTTTGCCACAGCACTCCCCAGATCAGCTGTATTCACAATACCTGCCTGGGCCCTGAAGACAATGGACTTTGTCAAGAAAATCCAGCCTCACATGCTTTCTGCACTTTAAGGAAGAAGAAACTGAGGATCCAGAAATACCACTTTCGGGTTACCATGAGTTGATGACTTTGATAGGGTTCCCAGTCTAGGGCTCTGTCCACCCACACCTCTGTCTGTCCCTGGCGGCTGCCCCAGCTGCCCCCAAAGCCGAGCAAAAATCAGCACCTGAGGGGTTAAACTGAAGTCACCCTTTCCCACCTGCTGCCTCATTTCTCCAGTCCATTATTCCTTCCAATAAAATGAGAACAGTGAAACAACAGGAGAAAAGGAAAAAAGCTCACCCATAGCAGCACCGCTGAACTATCAATGTTGAAAGCCTGTGGGCCCCTGGGGAATATAAACCTTTTGCAGGCCTTTTAATTTCATTCTCTTCCAGAGCCTCGCAGGGTGAGACAGTAACTCACCCACAGCAAACCAGGCAGTAGCGCGTCCCCTCCGCTTCTTGCTCACCCAAGGAGTTAAGAGCTCAGAGGCTGAAACCCAGGCCTGGAGCTTCCATTCCAATACAGCTTTACATATACCCAGTAGAAACAGTTTCTTATCAAGTGACTTCAAGAAAACCCAACACAGGAAAAGGGAAAGTATAACATAAATTAGGGATCCATTATTTGTTCTACGGAAGGATTTTTACTTAAAATGAACCTTGTAACAGATCTTTCGTATCTTTTAGATGATTTTTCCTTGTGCTTTGACAACATGATTAGTTTGCAAAATTCAGATCTCAAAACATTTTAGGAAAACATCTCTGACATGGAGCAAAATATAAGTAAATAATTATATATTTAAAAGTGGAACCCTGGAGGGCCTCCCCGGTGGTGCAGCGGTTGACAGCTGGGTTGCAAAGCTGCCCGCAGCCTCGGCAGCACTGGTTTGATCCCGGGCCACCGGTGAGAGTCCCACATGGCGCATAGACCTCTCCTGCCGCCCGCTGCTCCCCTCAGTAGTGTACTTGTCAGTCTGTCTGCTCTGCTCTCCCTTCTGGCTCTGGTGAATTCTCTCACCCTCCCACGCTTCTGACTGTACCCAGTGCTTGTACAAATAAATAAATCTTAAAAAAAAAAAGTGAAAAAAAAAGTGGAACACTGGCCAGCTGGTTCCAGCAAAAGACAATTAATAAATTATGTATATCTTTATACCTCTAGTATTTACAATAAGAAGTTTTGACTATAGGTGTTTTTTTTCCAATTTTATTTATTTTTGCATAGAAGAACTGGGGTGTAGGTCAGAGGTGCAGGGGGTGGTGAGAGGATTCACCAGAGACAGAGTGGGGAGCAGAACAGGCAGACTGACTGAAATACACTGCTGAGGGGAGCAGCAGGTGAGACAGGAGAGGTCTGCTGTGCCATGTGGGTCAGCTCCCTGGCCGGGGATGGAACTCAGGCCGTAGCAGTGATAGCACTGAGACTTAACCCCTATGCCACCAGGGAGGCCAATGACTGCAGGTATTTTATGTCAACCAGATCTTTTGCTGCAATACTTTCAGAATTTAATCCCTTGATGTAAATTGCAAACATTTTGGAACACAGTATGTTTTCATGAAAAATAAGACATAATTTCATTCAAGACAGTAATCTCTCATTTAGATAGATAAGCCTGAGACAACACCTGAGAGATCAAACACTACAAAAATGAACAGTGATGTAAAAATATATAAATAAAAAGGAAAAAAAAAGGATAAGCCTGAGCAGCGGTTGAGCACGGAGCTGCTGCTATATGGCGCGCATCTCCTTGCTCCCCTCAGCAGTGTATGTCACCCTCCCGCGCTTCTGACTGTACCCAGTGCATGAAAAAAACGACATGTTTCTTGATTGTTCTCTGTACAGAGATCAGGTAAAATGTATAAAGATTAGAACAATTACATGTCTATAAGTACAGACACACATACATGCACACACTCAGGGTCTCGGTACTGTGAGGCTATCTGTCACATGGAAAGCATTTCCATGTCCAGTTATTCCATGACTTTCTTATAACTACCTTGTGAAGAAGAGAGTACAGACGAGAACAGCCCTGAGGCATGAAGGCACTCACAGCTATTCCGACAGTGACACCACACTGAAATTTGACTGCCCAGGCCATGCTTTCCCTCCTTTTCATTCCAGCGAAGTGCTTTATTATGTATATACACAGAGAAAATCTTCATCTTCATTTTGGAGTTAAAAATAGTATATCCATTAGGTTGAACCGTGTGTGAAATCGCCATAGTCTAAGTGCTTCTGATCTACGGAGATGCAATTTCATAGGTTCTGTCCAACATCTCTCTGAATTGCTGGGCACTGAGCTAATTTGAGTAAAGGCAGCTTCTTAATGAAAGGAAGCCAACCTTCCTTTTTTTTAAAAAAAATATTTATATATATTTTTCATCATTGTTCATTTTTAAACAGTTTGCCTTTTTTTTTTTTTTTTATCCTCAGGCATTTGTTGCTGTCAAATAAGCACCACACAACTTCTTGAGAAGGCCTACGTTATCATGCTCTGGGGCCTATGAAGTGCTCAGTGCCAGGTCTAAAGCCATGTGCTTCTGGAAGGGCTCTCAGATGGACCGGTCATCACCACAGCCACAGGATACTTGCCAGCCAGCTGGAACAAAACTGCTTTCACACCTCCCTCCTCAACTCCCACGCCCACTCCCTGGTCTTGGGGAGATCAGCCCTCACCACAGGAACTTCTGGGGCATCAGGGCTGTTTCCCATGTACTGGGGAAGGAGGTAGAAATGGGGGCATCTTTATGAACAACTGTTTGCTTCTTCTTTCCCACATTCACTTGGCTGTGCTTGCTCATCCCCTTACACATATACACGTCTTGGGGGAACAGGGAGGGAAGGTTAGCATTTCCTTCTACTACAGAGAGGAATTGGGGCAGGGGGAGGAGGCAGTGGAGGAGGCAGAAATCCGAGGAAAAGCTGTGTCTGGGGAAAGCTGTGGCACTGATACAGAATGACCCATTTAAAAGGGCCATGTGAGGCAGCTGCGCGCCCAGGTTCTCAGCAGACTGAGCGGCGTGCATGTGCGAGGTACGTGTGTGCGTGCACGTGTGTGAGTAAACACACACGCATGAGCACACACCCAGACTCCCACATTCACGCAGGCTTTCCCACACCTGCTGTATCTTTCCAAGTGCTCATCTCAAGTTGCCAAAATTCAGGCAAGTAGCAAGTACAGTGAGTATCTCCTGGCTTTCCCCCTTTCTCAACTCTCTCTCCCTGCAAAGAAAAAGGATTTCTCTGGTGAAAAGAAGAGGCATGGTATTGAGGAGTGGGGCAGGTGAGAATGGCAATAATAAAAAGAAATGGAGAACCGAGGAACTCCAAAAACAGTTGCAACTGAGCTTCACACAGCGACTGAGTGAGCGAAGACAGTGATGGAGGACGGAGGTGAGAGCAGGGGGACCCTGAAAAGAAGTCCGAAAAGCCTTTTCTGGACATTGTTCATTCCTCCTTCGCCAACATTTAGTAGGCTCCATCAACCAGGTACTCTGCCCCACGCCAGGCACTGGGGAACCAGGTGAGTGAGACCTGGGCCCTACCTGAAAGCTCCCCAGGACAGCAGGGGTGTGAGGCAGAGGTGGCCAAGCACAGCCAGAGATCCCATCTCTAACCTGAGGTCACCTGGCCTCTTCTGGGGGCACTAGGGAATTAAGTTAACATTTATACTGAGTGTGGGGCCCCTCTGGTGATGCAAGGGGTTAAGATGCAGCACTATGAAGCTATCCGCAGTCACTGCAGCATGAGTTCTATCCCTGGCCAGCCAGGGAGCAACCTACATGGTGAAGCAGACCTCTCCTGTCTCGCCTGCTGCTCCCCTCAGCAGTGTATTTCAGTCAATCCTCCTGTTCTGTTCCCCGCTCTGTCTCTGGTGAATCCACTTACCCCCCACACCTCTGGCCTGTACCCCAGTTCTCGTATGCATAAATAAATAAATCTTTAAAAAACAAAAAAAAATTATACTGAGTGGTTATCGCATATCATCTCTTTTCACAGATGAAGAAACAAAGACACAATGCAGTTAAGTAATCTTTTGATGGCCACACCTTAGGAAGCGGGTAGTTGGGACTCAGACCTAGACTGACTGAGTTCATGGCCTACACGCTGAACAATTTCCCTAGACTGCCTTCCAAGAAAAGGCAGAGAAGAGGGAGCGTGAGAAATGGATTGGTCACGTCCTGCCACTGTGAGGGACGGGTGTAGGGGGACAACACTTTAACTGTTGTCAGGAGCTGTAGGTTCAAGTCCCCATTTGGCCACAAACTTTACAGTGACTTTGGACAAATCATTAAACCTCCCAGAGTCTCCTTTCCAGTTTGAGAAATGTGATGAGATCATATCTAAGATCATCTCATAGCTCATACCATCTATGACAAACAACAAATTACAATTATTCATTTCAGTGGTGAAGAATTTTAGCACTTTTTAAAGTCACCGAGTGGGAAAAAGGAAGTGGGAGGTAGGGAGATGGGCAGAGTCACAGGCAAGGTCATGGCTGGAGAAAACAGGAATTGATCGGAAAGGGCCCCGTGGAACGGGCCTGCAGCGGGGAGAAGCATCTAAATTCTGTTACTGGGCGGGTCTGGCTACTGCTTGATGGGCCAGGCTGCAGCGTGGGTGAGGACCCAAAGCCCAGCTCTAGCAGATGAACGCCTGGGCTGAGTGAGTCAGAGGGCAGACCAAGAAAGGCGAGTTGAGACAGGAGGTGCTCACCATCACAATGTTGGCCAGATGGGCAGAGACGAGTGCATAGACCCCTCCAGAGGAGCCCACGACCGGCGCAGTCATGTCAGCCACGGACACTGCCAGGGACCCTGGTACAGAGAGAAAGTGCGGATTTAAGAACTCTGCAGTAGGGTCCTCACCCCAACCCCAGGCTCTTGGAGGCTGCAACCTGAGGGTAAGACCCCAAAGCTGAGGGGCGGGACCGTCGAGTTGGTAAGAAGGTTTTGCTGATCTGTTGCTTGGGGGCGAGCTTGCGTCATTCATTTGGACCCTGCCCCCATTTCTTATAGCCTAGCAACGCAAACCAGGGCCATAACTGACCCAGTGGTAGAGGAGGCGGTGCTGCAACTTTGGCGATCAGAGGAAGCCTGTGGAACCCGACCCAACGCTCACTGAGATGTGTCAAGAGTCATAGCAGTGACTTGCCCTTCAGGACAAGAAGGGTAAGAATGAGGGAGAAGGGACATAAGTCACTTAAATAGTATTGCTTGGGCCTCCCTGGTGGCGCAAGGGGTTAAGCACCGCACTATAAAAGCAGTCCGAAGCCTCTGCAGCAGGAGTTCAATCCCCCGGCCGGCCAGGGAGCAACCCACATGGCACAGCAGACCTCTCCTGACTCACCCGCTGCTCCCCTCAGCAGTGTATTTCAGTCAATCTATCTGTTCTGTTCCCCACTCCATCTCTGGTGAATCCTCTCGCCTCCCGCATCTCTGGCCTGTACCCCAGTTCTTCTTTTTTTTAAAGAAGATTTATTTATTTATTTATTTATACAAGCACTGGGTATAGTCAGAAGCGCGGGAGGGTGAGAGAATTCACCAGAGCCAGAGCGGGGAGCAGAGCAGGCAGACTGACGAAAAAATACACTGCTGAGGGGAGTAGCAGGCGCGGAAAGAGAGGTCTGCGCGCCATGTGGGACCCTTGCCGGTGGCCGGGGATCAAACCAGCGCTTCAGAGGCTGCAGGCAGCTTTGCAGCCCAGCGCTCAACTGCTGCGCCACCAGGGGAGGCCCTGTACCCTAGTTCTTGTATGCATAAATGGATAAATCTTTAAAAAATAAAAATAAATAAATAGTAAAAAAAAAAAAAAGACCCCAAAGCTAAAGGCTCTCTTCCTCCTATGGTCCTATGTCATCTGGGAACCTCCTAGGGCATTAACTTACAGTGAAAAGAACCATTTCACTCAAACCTCTCTTTTTTCCCCTGGGGCCTCCCTGGTGGCGCAAGGGGTTACGCACTGCATTATGAAGCAATCAGCAGCCTCTGCAGCATGAATTCCATCCCTGGTCGGCCAGGGAGCAACCTACATGGTGCTGCAGACCTCTCCTATCTCGCTTACTCCTCCCCTCAGAGTGTATTTCAGTCAGTCTGCCCGTTCTGCTCCCTACTCTGTCTCTGGTGACTCCTCTCACCACCCCGCATCTCTGGCCTGTACCCCGGCTCTCGTATGTATAAATAAAATCTTTTAAAAAAACACCTTTTTTCCCCAAAGATTTATTTATTTATGCATTTAAGAGCTGGGGTTCAGGCCAGAGGTATGGGGGGGCGGGGGTTGAGAGGATTCACCAGAGAGAGTGGGGAGCAGAACAGGAGGATCTACTGAAGTACACTGCTGAGGGGAGCAATGGGCAAGACGGAAGAGGTCTGCTGCGCCATGTGGGTAGCTCCCTGGCCGGAAATTGAACTCATGCTGCAGTGGCTGTGAATAGCTTCATAGTGCTGAGACTTAACCCCTTGTGCCAACAGGGAGGCCCTTAAACCTCTATTTTTACACATGGGAAACAAAGACTCAGCAGACGGAAGTGATAGTCTGTCTCTCACTCCAGCCTCTGCCTCACATTGTGCTATCTCAGGGTTCTGGAGCAAGAACAGAAATAGAACAGTAGTTATTGCAGAAACAGCTACTATGGATGGGGCACCCTGCACTAGACGCTGGCCAGGCATTTTACAGAGCTCTCCTCTCTCACCCTCAAGGCAGTCCTTTGAGGCAGGTGCTGACAGTCTCATTGCAGAAATGAGGAGACTGAGCCCAGAGTCACCTGGTAGGAAGGGCTGGAACCAGGATCTGAGGCCAGGTCTGCCTGACACAAAGCCTGTGCTCCTGGTCTCTCCAGCAGGAGAGTGTCTCTCTCCCCAAACAGATAGGTCAACCACCACCCTCCATGACAGCACTCTCTGCTCCATAGCTCCAGAAACCTGCTTAGCCTTACCTCCAACCTGCCTCTTGCAGAGTGAAAGCACAACAGGCCAACAGGCTCTCCTGAGCAGGGGCTTCTTTGGAGGAAAAAATGTCCTTGAAAAATCCCCAGAAAGAGAGATGATGTCATTCCCTCTGGGAAGGGTATAGACTCTTGGTCAGGGGGATGACAAACTTTTGTCTTGGGAGGGAAGCTGGGCAGAGAGGAGATGGGAAATGTATTGTTTTGGTCTCATTTAAGTGTGATCAATGCTTTGGCTTCCAGGGAAGGACATGGGAGACTAAAAATAACTAGGAGGTAGAGCCCAAGGCTCGGAGGATGAGAGGTGACTGGTCTGGGTGAGTGTGCAGAAATCACCGCTGGAAAATACCCGCAGGCTCATGAGCCAATTAGCTGCTGCCTGGGTGGAGAGAGGGGGCACAGCCTGCCACACTCTGCAGGCTCTACAGGATGGAGTGCCTGCTACTTGGAGAGACTGGGCTCAGGCAGCAGAGAGCCCCTGTGACAGCCCCATGTCTCTCTTGCCCACCCCTGCCCTGCCTTTCTCTCAGCTCACGGGATCCTTCAAGGAAGTGATCCTCACAACAGATTCTTGGTCTCAAGGGGGATGTAATCTCTCAGGAAAAAACAAACTGTCATGAATTGAGAACTCCCAAGTCCGTCTCCCCTCCCAGAGCAACTATAAATCTTTCTTCTCGCCTTTCATGCTTTCCCTCTGGCTTTAATTAGGTATTGATCTATTGTCAGATAACTTTTTTTTTTTAAACTGCCTAGCCACAGGGTCAGCTATGTATAACAGAAAAAAAAAAAAAAAATCCCAGGGTGGCAACCAGATAGGCAGGGGGATCTGCATGACAAAGGATTCCCACGCTCTCCTGGCGGGCTGGCTAGGAAGGCTGCAGTGCAGGGCTGCAGAGGGCTGGATGCCCAAGCCACTCCTCATTAATTACCGTTTGGACAGAAGAAGCCCCACAGCCTCTAGGGACTGGCCTTTTTTTCAGCTTACATCCCTACATGCCAGTCCAGACTCTGCTCCCTAGGCCTCCTCAGCGCAGCAGGGGAGAGGAGTCAGGGAAGCCTCGGCAGGGGCCTGGCCTCCATACAGTGACCTTTCCTTCACCTCACCCGTGGATGGGAGGCCTGACCCCAGGGCTAGGGGTCAGTCTCGGATTGTGGCAGGAATATGAAATGGGGGTGTGGCTGGCTAGTTGTGTGACCTTGAGCACAGCCCCTGGATTCTTTGGGCTTCAATTTTCACATCTGTGAAACAAGGAGGTCTAAAGCTTTCCAACATTTGAGTAGTGAAACCCTTTTTTCAAAGGAAACCTTATCCAAACCCCTACCCCATGGAGCAGGGCACAGAGAGCTACTCTGGCTGAAGGGGGAGGGGTGTGGGGAGCAACACTCTTCACTCATAGAAGGGACCGTGAAGGTTCCTTCCAGATGACATAGATATCCAATAATCCGAATTTTGGCCTAAGATCCAGAGTCTAAGACTCTGATCCTGGTTCTAGAATTGTGAAGGGAACAATCTGGAGGTAATTCATCTATCCTCCATTTGTGGCATAAATTCTTTCCTGACAGGACTCTAATTAGCCCTGGACCAGGGTGCCTGGAAGAGATCAAATCCAAGCAGAGGCATGTATGTATATGAACACGGTAATAAAGGTCATGCCTGAAAGGATTAATTAATAAAGGCAGAATTCCTGACAAGCTGTTCTGAACCTAACGGTAACAGTACAATAAGGTCAGTATGAATTCCATGAAGGTGGTAAGGTTAGAGGACGGAGAGGGAATGGCAAGCTGGGGTGACACGTCACTTCTGCACAGCAGCAGGCCAATGACCACTTCTCATCAGGGTTATGAATTTTCCCCCAAAATTCTGGGTCCACGCCAGCATGCGGGTAAATTGGCGACTTTGCCATAATGCTCGGCTGTGATAATTTTAGCCTGTAGAATTTAAAGCAGGTGTTCTCTAACATCTCCCTTGGCCGGTTAAAAAAAAAAATTCAAATGCAAATTGGCAGAATATCTATCTTTAGGCAGCATAATTTTATTTACATATATATTCTTTCATTTGTTCTACAAATATGTGTTTAACATGTGTCATACCCTGCACTAGACTCCTGGGGTGTACTCATGGCTTATAATCTATACTCAAGGCTTGGTGGAACTATTAGAATTCTGGATTTTTTTTTTAAGGTTTATTTATTCATGCATACAAGAACTGGGATACAGGTCAAAGGCGCGAGAGGGTGAGAGGATTCACCAGAGACAGAGTGGGGAACAGACAGACTGACTGAAATATGCTGCTGAGGGGAGCAGCGGGCGAGGCAGGAGAGGTCTGCTGAGCCAAGTGGGATTCTTGCCGGCCGGCTGGGATTGAACCCAAACTGCAGAAGCTGCGGACAGCTTCAAAGCGCAGAGCTCAACCGCTTGCGCCATCAAGGGAGGCCCTAAAATGCTGGCTCTTAAAGGATTGAAATTGTTAGCCAGAAGTGAGATACTTATTGGCCTCAAGCATTGATTAGAAGCACAGACAGGAGGGAGGGTGTCCACCCCAGTTCTAGTACTTCTCAGCTGAGCAAATTGAGCAAGTCATTTCACTACTCTCAACTTCTTATGAAACAGTGGGGGACAACGCCCCCCTCATAAGACTGTCGTAATGAACACAGGAGATAATAAATTCATGTGCCTTTATCACATGTTCTGGGGTACTGATGTGCTCAGCAGAGGTGAGTGACCATTGTTACAAAACATGTGATGGCCTTGGATTTGGAATATTTTCACTGGGCAAGAATTAGAGGGCAGGGCCAGAAGTCTATTAAGACCTCCGTAGGGGCCTCCCTGGTGGTACAAGGGGTTAAGATGCAGCACTATGAAGCTACCTGTAGCTACTTGCAGCACCAGTTCGAGTTTGATCCCCGGCCAGGGAGGTGACTCACATGGTGCAGCAGACCTCTCCTGTCGCGCCCGCTGCTCCCCTCAGCAGTGTATTTCATCAGTTTGCCTGTTCTGCTCCCCACTTTGTCTCTGGTGAATCCTTTCACCTCCCCACACCTCTGGCCTGTATCCTAGTTCTTGTACGCATAAATAAATAAATCTTAAAAAAAAAGATCTCCCTTGGTTTCTGGCGATAAACTGCACAACAGTAAGGTCCACCTTTCAGCTCTCATAACACTAAGGGAGTGATTTAGAGTATGACTTGTAGTGTCAGACAGTCAGGGTTGAGCCCAGCTCCACCACTGACATCTGTGTTTTCTTGAACAGGTCACTTGCTTATTTAAGCCTGGGCTTCTGTAACAGGTGGAGAGTGAGGGGACCTGCCTCATGGGGTTGTGAGGATTTGATACTCCCCAACACAGCAGGCACTTGATAGTCACTGGCTACCCAGTCAGGGTCTTGCACTCTGTTAAAGCCCCCATCCCCCATGACGAGGGGTGTATATGGAGTGGAAAGGGAGGAAGAGGTGGGCAGCGCAGGCAGAGCAATCAACTCAATCCTGGAGATCAATGATATGATATGTGTCGACCGGAGTGCCCTCCGGTCTGAATCAATGACTCAGACAGAATAGCACAGTCCTCTCATTTAGCGGGCGAACCCCCCTTCCGCCTGTGTACCACCCCCCAGGAAGTGATACCTGAGCTGTCTCCTGGCTGCGTGTCATCTGGTTTTAGGGAGGCCTGAGTCATTTTGAATCTTATTTCTGTCTTCCGGGTTATTGGCACACCCACCTAATTGACTACAAACTGCGAGTGTTACGAGTGCCTTTCCTGTTCCTTGCCATTAACCATCTGGGTCTCTGGGTATCTGCTACAGAAAATGTGGCTATAAATTCCCAGATGTCAGGACTAGGGTGTGTGTGTGTCTGAGTGTAAGCCTGGCACACATAGATGCTCAGGAAACCTCTGTTCAAGGATGTGGGAGGTGCTGGATTCTGGGAGATGTTCAGTGGCTGCTGTCCAAGGTGGCCAAGTTTTTGACCTCAGCACACAGAGTGAAGGAGATGGTGCTGGGTTGATCTCGCTGGGTTGATGCGGAGGGTTCACTAACTAGGGGAGAATAGGGTAGGGCCTTCCCTCCTCTACTCCTGAAACGATTTCAGTTACTTCCAGGGCCCCTACCTGCCCATTGTTTACAAGGCTGACGCTGCTACCCTCTCTCCTGATGACAACTTTAATGCCACTCAGAAAGGATTAAGATCTTATTTAAACATACACACTTATTTATCTTATGGCTGTCAAGGTGAAGAGCTGAGGCAGCAAACCATGTTTAAAAAAAAAAAATCCAGCCATAAAGTTGGAAACATCACGAAGGAGATCTCTCTGCTCAGAAGTCCAGTTTGTGCAGACTTTCCCTGCAGAAATCTGCTCTGCTCTCCATGGCTCACCCCCGTCTGCCTCACCTGCCCATGGGAGGGAGGTGGGAGTCATGCTGGCCACCGAGAAGCTGTGGTTGCCGCCCCGAGTAAGCCGATGCCCAAGTGCCTCTAGCTGGCCAAGCACTCAGCACCTCCTAGCCAGACTTCCTTTTGTCAGCAGTGAGTCATTCGAGGGGACGGTGGGTGGCCTGGGCAGAGCAATCGCTCCCTTTGGGTTCGGAAGCTGGACTGGCCAGGGGAGGTACCTGGCTCCATCCACACCTTGCAAACACTGTGCCTTTGCAGTTGACATAGCACTCTTATTCCACTCATCTCACTCACTCCTAACATCCTACAGGCAGATGCTACTGTTTTCCTCTTTAAGCTTAACAGGGCCAAGAGAGGTTAAGGAATTTTCCCAAACTCACACAGATACAAATGGTGGTATAAAGACAGAAAGTCCAGTCTCCTGGACAGTCTCCACTCCTTTGCCATCACAGGCCTCCCTCTCTGGGTGGCAGTCCCCTTTCCAGTCTCCCAGGGAAGTGGGGAGATTTGCCTGGAGGACCACAGGCAAATCAGGCGCCTTGGTGATGAGGGCTCTCTGTGTCCCCTGAAAGCCTGAGGCTTAAATGACCTTATGGAGTCTCCCAGACACCCTCAGGAGATTTATTCCAGTGGACATGGGGTCCACCTGCCTACCTGCTACAACACCGGCCACGTACACCAGCCCAATGCGGGTTGCTCCATGCACCATCTCCAGGGGCACCCCCACCAGGAGCTGCAGCACCACGTTGAGTCCCAGGTGTTCTATCCTGTAGGGAGAGACCACACTCATTCATCATTCATTCATTCACTCATCCATTCATTCTTTCAATCAATTCTGTATGCCAAGATACTCTACCTGTCTTTCAGGGGTTCCTGGTCTGGTAGGGGGAGGAATTACAATGCAGACAGATCATCTTGGAAAGAGTGTTTTTCAGGCCTCCCTGGTGGTGCAAGGGGTTAAGTCTCAGCTCTATGAAGCTATCAGGAACTGATGCCTGGCCAGGAGACCTCTCCTGTCTCACCTGCTGCTCCCCTCCACAGTGTATTTCAGTAGATCTGTCTGTTCTGCTCCCACTCTGTCTCTGGTGATTCCTCTCACTCCCCTCACCTCTGGCCTGTACCCTAGTTCTTGTATGCATAAATAAATAGAATAAATCTTTAAAAAAAGAGTGTTTTTCCATACCTTTCCTGCCATTTGGGATAGGAATACATGTGTAAGGCCTGAGGGGTTACAAGCAGTGTCTGTACTTGTCACAACGAGAAGGACTAACCACAGTCAAGATTTAGTAACTCCATGGATTGGCACATAAGAAGCTGAGGCTCAGAGAAGGGTACTGACCACCTTATGGTCACACTGTCATTCTAGCTCTTGACTGCAGCTGTAAGAATTCTAGGTAGTCATTGGGCCAGTTTATCATGAGGTCCTTGCTAGGGTAGGAGGCACCACTGAGAACTTGCCGCGGACCAGCACAGCAGTGAACGATGAGGCCATCTCAGGGTTGAGAGACTGCGCAGGGTGGTCAGGGAGTTGGCGAAAGAAATGACAAACAGACATACTTCAAGAGAGTGAAAATCTGAGTGTAATTTTCTTTGAGTTGGTGACCAGTATATAAAGCCATTAGCCCTAAAGGTCACTGCAGGGGGAGGTGCAGCAAGAACTGACTGCACTCTAGCTGCAAAACCCAAAAGAGGCCATAAACTCTTTAAACAGAGACTACTGCCAGCTCTTCAAGAAGATTCTAGGGAGGAAGACAGTTTCTTTTTTTTTTTTTAACTTTTATTTTTATTTATTTATGCATACAAGAGCTGGAGTATAGGCCAGAGGTGTAGGGGGGCGGGTGGTGGTGGTGAGAGGATTCACCAGAGACAGAGCGGGGAACAGAACAGGCAGATCCACTGAAATACACTGCTGAGGGGAGCAGTGGGCGAGACAGGAGAGGTCTGCTGCACCATGTGGGTAGCTCCCTGGCTGAGGATTGAACTCGGGCTGTCGCGGCAATAGCACTACACTACAAGGGAAACCCAGCGTGGAAGACAATATATCTATGCTTTTTTCACTTACAGGGCACACACACACACACACACACACACAACTTATGGACAATGAACCTAGTGACTGACTACATTTCTCTCTTCCCTTTGGCCACTAGGAAGCTCAGAATAAATTTTGTAAACTTCCTTCAGCAAATATATAGACTCACATGTTGATCTCATTGACATTTTTGACATTTTCCTCTGTTGTTTCCATTCCCATCCTCTCTCAACAATTTACTCATGGAATTTGGTATTAGACGAGTTTTAAAGAGCCACCTCAAATCTTATGTCCACGTAGAGAGAAATAAACTAAGGAATATATTTCAATCCAGACTCTCTGACACACTTTTCCCCCCCATAGGGACTCCTGGTAGTACTGAAGATGACAGGCACTCACCCTGCATGCATGAAGATGTATGTCAGGTAGCGCCATGCCTGGGCTCGGAGCTGTGGGTGGTACACCAATGAATTCTTCAGGTACCGTGGGTGGGTTACCTGCAGCACAAATTGATCCAGTGACACCCCATTGTAGAGGAAAAAGGCAACCTGGATGAGAGTGAGAAATGGAGAGGACCTGTTACCAGGTGCAAATTGCCCAGGAGCCCCCTTTGTGCTAACATAAGTCCTCCCTCTGGAACCTGTCATCTTTCCTTCTCCAATAACGTGGAAATCCAACACTCAATCTAGCTTTCAATCACTGCTCACCCCACTTCTGTCTGTATGAAGTATTCACACGATGATCACATGATCTCTTGGCCCATACTTCTGTGAAAAGCAGGAGAGTTTGGAGGACTTTGAACTTCTAGTAATATCTCACATATTCACTTGGGGGATGAAGCAATTCCACATATTTTTTTAAAAATTGTGGTAAAATACCCAAAGGACACAGAAACATCAACTCCAAAGAACACCTGCACCCCTATGTTTATAGCAGCACTGTTTACAATAGCTAAGCTTTGGAAACAACCCAAATGCCCAAAAATAGATGACTGGATCAAGAAGATGTGGTACATATATACCATGGAATATTACTCAGCATTCAAAAAAGATAAACACATGCAATTTGCTGCAACATGGATGGCGCTGGAAGGGATCATGCTCAGCGAAATAAGCCAAAAAGAAAAAGAAAAATACCGGATGGTCTCACTCATAGCAGGAATCTAGAAAACTTAAATAAGGGACCAGGAAAATGAAAAACTATAAGAAAGTGAAAATCAAAATCAACAAAAAACTATGAACCAGAGACACTTTTAGGGGGCGGGGCGGGAGGGGAGGGATTGGGGTCAGAATGGGGGGCGGCAATTGTATGGGGAATATAACAATAAAATTTATAAAAAAAAAAAAAAATAAAATAAAATAATGTAGTTTTTAAAAAAAAAAAAAAAAAAATTGTGGTAAATACATACGACATAAATTTATCATCTTAATCAGTTGTTGGTTGTACAGGTCAGTGGTGGCAACTACACTTACACTATTGTAGCCACCACTACCATGCCCCTCCAGAACTTTCTCATCTTGCAACGCTGAAACCCTGTACCCATTAAACACAAACTGTATTCTACTTTCCCCTAGACCCTAACAATTATTATTATTTTTTAAAGATTTATTTATTTTTATACAAGAACTGGGGTACAGGCCAGAGGCGCGGGAGGGTGAGAGGATTCACCAGAGACAGAGTGGGGAATGGAACAGGCAGACTGAGGAAATACACTGCTGAGGGGAGCAGCGGGCGTGGCAGGAGAGGTCTGCTAGCCATATGGGTTGCTCTGAGGCCAGCGGGGATTGAATCGGCACTGCAGAGGCTGCAGACAGCTTCACAGCGCTGCGCTCAACCGCCTGTGCCACCAGGGAGGCCCACAATTATTATTTTTAAAGATTTTATTTATTTTTGCACAGAAGAACTGGAGCGTAGGCCAGAGGTGCAGGAGTTGAGAGGACTCACCAGAGACAGAGGAGAGCAGAAAGGCAGATGCAGATGTACTGTAATACACTGCTGAGGGGAGCAGTGAGTAGGCGAGACAGGAGAGGCCTGCTCTGCCATGTGGGTTAGCTCCCTGGTGGGGGATCAAACTCAGGCCATCCCATTGACAGCGCTGAGACTTGACCCTAGACCACCAGGGAGGCCCACCCCCCTGGCGATTGTTATTCTACTTTCTTTCTCTATGAATTTGACTACTCTTGATACCTCACAGAACTGGAAGAATTATAGAGCATTTGAGTTCCTGAGACTGGTTTATTTACCTTGCTATGTCACAAAGTTTATCCACATTGTAGCATGCATAAAAATTCCCTTCCCTTTTAAGGCTGAATAATATTCCATTGTATGTATATACCACATTTCTTTTCTCTACTCATCCATTGGTAGACCCTTGAGAATAACATTGCTATAGAGATGGGTGCACAAATATTTGAGTCCCTGCTTTCAGTTCTTTTGGATCAATATATAGAAAGGAATTTATGGATCATATGGTCATTCTATGCTTAATTTTTTGAGGACCTGCCATATTGTTTCCTGTATCAGCTGCACCATTTTACCTTCCCACCAACAGTGCACATGGGTTCCAATTTCTCTACCTCCTCAATACCATTCCACTTAAAGTGAAACACACTTATTTAAATCTGAAAAGGGTATTTATTTTACTTCTTCTTTTTTTTTTTGATTACTCAGCCCTGTGTCCTTTGCCCCTTTGTCCTTTACACATTCACATATAACATTTTATGGCTGCTTTCAGGTATTGACTAGGCCATAGTAGTGATATCTTCTCCAGGAATTGATGGGGCTTATGCTCCTACACTAAATGGCCCCAAATTCCTGTTTCTTTATGACTCAAGTTGGTTTTTAAATTTCTTTTGTTCTCTCCCATATTGCCATATTATCAATAGGTTGTTAAGCAGGTAGTACAGCCAGACTGCTACTTTCTATTGCTGGGTGGTAGCTTCTATTGCTTTCCTTCTATTTTTTTTCTGTTAGAGAGATGGAAAACCAGGTTACTAGAACTGTATGTAAAAGAAAAGCCTTGGGTTTTTAGTACAAGGAATTTGAAACAGCATTTTCCCATTTCTTCTAGATTGAGGGTTCAAGTTTACATAGCTGAGGTTCCTGGAACATGGAAAACACTCTGGCCACAAAACACAAAACACTCTGGAAGACCTTGGCAAATTATTTGAATTCCTGGGTCCTCAATTTCCCAGTCTGGAAATGGGTATATCAAAGCCTCTAGTTCCAGGGTGGTGATGAGGTTTTAAAGAGCCAGTCTCGGGCCTCCCCGGTGGCGCAGCGGTTGAGTGCTGGGTTGCAAAGCTGCCCGAGGCCTCTGCGGCGCCGGTTCAATCCCCGGCTGCTCCCCGGCCACCGGAGGAGGGTCCCACATGGCGTGCAGACCTCTCCTGCCGCCCGCTGCTCCCCTCAGCAGTGTACTTCGGTCCTTCTGCCTGCTCTGCTCCCCACTCTGGCTCTGGTGAATTCTCTCACCCTCCCGCGCTTCTGACTGTACCCAGTGCATGTATAAACAAAACAAACAAACAAGCAAATAAATAAATAAATAAAACATGCCTCTATTTAAAAAAAAAAAAGAGCCAGTCTCACTCAGCTCTAATCAGCGTTGGGTTAAGACCTCCTGGACTGAACCTGGAAACAGCTCAGACCTCCTGGCAGCCTCGGAAGCTCCTCGGCTCTCTGGAAGCCCTTCTGTCCACCTAAGACAATGCAGGTGGCCTGGCTGAAAATACAGCTTCCAAGGCAGCTCATTATTATTGGTCCTCAAATAGAAGTTAATAAATAGACCAACACAGTAAGCGCTTCGAGAACAAGTCCAAGAATATCTCAGAAAAATCACAACTTCAAGATGTACTTGGATGAAGCCATAATAACAAATGCAGGAGCTCTGGCCTGCAGACCACATATTCTGATTTAAAAAATAAAAAAGGAAAGATGCATGAAGCTTAACAATCCTGCCGTTTGATTAGGCAGGAACTTTACAAGAACATATGCAGGGGGCGGTAATTAGGCCTATGGCTCTGGAAGAGAAATGGTGGAGATTATAAAACGCCAAGGGAAGCCAAGCTTCCATTCAAGAGCTGGGGTTGGGGGTCCACAGGTTCTTGAGCTGAACAGCCAAAAGAATTCAGAGTTCTTCATACATGAGCATAGATTTAGAAAGTGGTACCTTAGGATTCTGTTGCATAAGCTAGAGACTTATAGAATAACAATAGGCATGGATGATTCCCTATGGGGAGACTGTTCTTTCACAATATGTTAAGCCCACATTTACCTGTTCATAAGCATGCCCTACCCTAAGTACTGGTGATGCTTGTGTTCAGAAAGCACCAATGGCCATCCTTTCGCCCTAAATAGAGGAGTCTGAAGGGAGAAGCAGGGCAGGCCTGGTTATTCCTGCTTTATAGGCAAAAGATGGAGTCCCAGGGGAGTAAATGACTTTTCCACATTACTCAATGGGGAAAAGCTAAAATAAATTGTTTTTAATGAGTTAGCATGGCTTAAAACCCCCAAACCAAGGAACTTACTACATTTTTCAGTGGCTATTTTTGGTGAGGTGGTCACATGGAGATTTTGGTGCAGCAAATATTGCTGAAATAACCACTTTGGACTATTTTTGAGTTCTAGGGGTTATAGCCACATTTGTATGCACTGCAACAGGGCATGACTTGCAATGACCACTGGATCTTCCACCATCACCATTTGGTGGGGAAGATGTTGCCCTTTTCCTCAAGATCTCAGATACCCTCTTGGCTGTTCTCCCTCTAAGTCTGAGCCACCACCATCCTCCCTCCCTCTTGTCCTTGCCTCTAGTAGTGTGACTGTGATCATGAACCAGGGCGGGGGGCAGCAGGTGTAACTGTCGTAGTACCACTTGCGGTCAATCTCCCGCGGCAGGGTTTCATAGGCCACGTGGCGGATCAGCCGCTGGGAGAGGTTTAGCCCCTTCTCCTCCAGCAGCGCCTTGCTGCAGAGCCTGCGGTTCCCCTGCAGGATGGCCTGGCGGAAGCTGTTGGATCGCTTGTTGCTCATCTGCATGGGAAACATAGTGAGGGAGAGCGTCAAAACCAAGGTCTCAGGGGAGCCCTGACCCCATTTCTTGGCCAGCACACTCCTTAGACCAACCAGGCCTAATCCCACTTTTTTCTTTCTTCTATGGCCTGCAGCTGCCCTGACATATCCTTAGTAGGGGCCTGACTCCCAGAGACCAACGGTGGCCTTGCTGGCTTCCAGCTTGAGGCCTCTGTGGCTGCCCACCTGCACTCCATGACCACATTGTAGATCCTTTTTTTTTTTAAGATTTTATTTATTTATGCATACAAGAACTAGGGTACAGGCTAGAGTTGTGGGGGGTAATAGGGTTCACCAGAGACAGAGTGGGGAACAGAAAAGGCAGATCGACTGAAATACACTGCCTAGGGGAGCAGAGGGTGAGTCAGGAGAGGTCTGCCTTGCCATATGGGTTGCTCCCTGGCCAGGGATCAAACTCGTGCTGCAGTGGCTGTGAACAGCTTCATAGATTGCATCTTAACCCCTTGCGCCACCAGGAAGGCCCTGTAGATTCTTCTTATGGAAAGATGTGCTGGAGACATACCTCTCCCAACTCCAGAGTCCACAATGCTGCCTGGGTGGCTGTTCTATGGTAGCTGGAGTGGGACTGTAGACCTAGGTGTGGATAGTAGGGTAAACTTGAAGGCGGGAGCTCAGAAAGGGCTGGCAAGGTGCACCAGGCCAGACCAAGGTACAGATCTAGAAGCCCTGTCAGGGGAAGGTAGCTGGGAGTACTGAGGTTCAGATCAGGCCAGGTGGAATGAGCCTCTACCTGAGTGCCCCTTCCCTACATCTGAGTGTACAATTTCTAACCTTCAAAATTTGGCTTAAAGTTTGTTTTACAGGCAGGATGTATTCCTTCCAACAATTCCCTGTTCTCATGCCTATAATGCTGAAAACTGACACTTCTTAGTGGCTTGCGAGTTTAGTAAATGTGGCAGGGATTGGGGCTGCATGCACACTGCAAGCCCAAGAGAGGAGCACATCGTCACATTATTCTGTAGCCACTCTTACCATCCTTTCTCCCAATGCCCAGGTGCGCACATGCACATGGGTATGGGCTATACACTTACAAACACATTCGTGGCCACACCCTGAAGACCTACGATGGGAACAGACTCCGCATGCGTATAGGAGAAGCAGTGTGTGTGCAAACACCCTCACCTTTCACCTGCACCCATGCCTAGATCTGTGCTGGGCACAGTAGTAACCACGACCTCGGGCCTCTGAGAGCTTAAAAGGAAAGATGGACATGTAAACAGCAGCAAAAGAGGATGTCATCTTAGTTATTTGGTGCATAACATTATCCTCAGTTATAGATGAGACAAAAGCCTAGAGAAGATAGGTAATTTTCTCAAGGATCCATAGTTAGTTCTTCACAGTCAGGATTCAATCCCAATCTGCCTGACTTCAGTGTACCGGAGAAGGATCCAGCTCCATCTGATCCCAGGCCACGAGCTCTCCATCCAATGCAAGTTTCCCCTGTCCTCTAGCTCCCATCCCAGGAGCCCCTTCTTAGTCCTGGTCACATGCTCTGGCTCAGAACTTGACTGGAGAAATCCTGAGAGTAACAAGTAACCTGCTGTTGTAACGTCACCCAGTCCCCCAGCGGGAGAGAGCATTTCACTGCTTTGGCTACGTCCTTGCTCTGCCAGAGATTGAGCAGGGCTCCACGGTGCAACTAATATGCTGGTGCTGGGATTATGGATGAGTCTATACTGGCTCAAACCCATGGCCTGGGTTTTGGTGGCACTGCTGGGCTCCAAGTCACAGGGCTCACCTCCACCACTGACTCCATGGATCCCAGCTGTCCCCAACTCAGCTCTGTACCTACCCTCTAGGAGGCAGCCCCCTGAGTCTACCCTGAACAGCAGTAGATTCCTTTGCCCTTCTAGCTCCTTTCTGCAAATGTTAACCTTTGGACAAAGGTGGGCTCTAGCTAAGAGGCAATTAAATTAAGTTCAAAGCTCAGGGGCATCCATATCAGAAAGCTCACCTGGCACAATGACAGGCGTGGTGGGTACTGGCTCCTCCATCACTAATGTCTTGAATTCTAGAAGTCTGGGGAACTTCACCAGTCATTTCACTCTCCTCCCCTCCAAGGGTCATAAGAAGGGAGGCGGTAGTCTCCATTTCACCAAAAGGGAAACCAAGGGGTGACTACTAGCCTTGTGTTTGTCCTGCTAGTTAATACAACTTCTACTGATGCCCCATCCAGCCACGGTGGGTAAAATGCTGCCTGCTTAACCCCACTGAACCCCACTCCAGTTCTTACCACAGTAGCTCCCCTAACAGCATAGCAGTAATTCCCAGTGAGGAGGAAGTCCCTACTTTCAGAACCCAGAGTGCTGGGCAGGATTCATGAACTGCCTCCAGCCCCTCCAACAACCCAGGACATCTGCCAGCAGGACTGATGAGCCTTAACCTACATGACCCATTGCTCCCCAGGAGGTCTGGGTTGAACAACGAACACCCAATCCTCAGTTCTGTCTCCTGCTAACAATAAATAACTTTCCATTCCCAGCTCTTCCTTTCAAAGGAACTGACCCCACTCCCAGTTCCAGGGGTGGGCAGTGACTGACTTGAGTCAATCAATGCATGATTCATTCTAGGCTAATAAGAAGGAAGAAATCCCAGGCTTTGTGAGAGTGCTGCTACAAGAAGTGTCCCTTTCCTCTCCTGTATGGTAAGACCCAAGGGTGTGAGGGCTGGAGCAGCTGCAGCCACTTTACCTCCACAATTGGAAGGTCTGGAATTGCCAGGGGCTTCTTGAGAGGGGGTGACACTGTAGAAGGCAGAACTGAGACAAAGAGAGACTAGGTCTTTGGTGGTATCCTTTTACCTGCTGAAGTCTGGCCTTTTTCAGTGCTGTGGGTCAACAGATCTCTTTAGTCGTACCTAACGATCCTCTAAGTGGCAACCCCCAAACAGGTCTCTCCCAGAAGCGAGGGCCCCAGAGCTCTCACCAGGTTGACAAAGTCCTGGTAGCAGATCTGCCCATCTGCATGGCTGTCGGCCAGAGCCAGAAGCACCTCCCTTTTGTGGGGATCCAACTTGGAGCTGTGGCTCTCCAGGAGGCTCCGGAACTTGCCTGTGCTGATGTAGCCCGTGTTCCCAGGGTCAAACTGAGGGAGAAGCACAGACAGAAGTAGGGTCAGTGGGGCTTGGCCCCCCTCTCAGCTCTGGGACAGGTGCCCCCTCTTCCACCACTCAACAGCTCTTGTCTCCAGTCCTCTGCCAACAGAGGCCCAGGCTGTGTCTGGGATGTGTCCAAGTCCCCCATGGGAAACATCCAAATAAGGGCATGGACAACCACTTAAATCCTAGAAGCCCTGGAGATCTTCGAGATCACCCACTCCAACTGTCGCATCATGGATAAAAAACTGGAGTCTCAGAAAGGTTTACTTCCCTCCTCTCCCTTACTCTTGACTTTAGACAAGAGGAAAGCAGCAGTGAAAAAGCAGAGAGTTCCTCCAAGAGGAGGGGCTTTTGTGGGAAGAATCAAGGCAGGGGAGCAGGGACACAGCCTTGCAAATCCTTTGTATCAGGTTGCCGCCCCCTTCCATGCCCACACTCATGCACCCCCAAACCACCCCACCCCACACGAGGGCTGCACAGGGCTCCCTGCTCTGGGCACCATGCTCTATCTTGTGTTATTTCTTAACTATGTCCTGCTGCCCCAGCACTTTGCACACAGGAGTCCCTCTAGCTAAGATTCCCTTTGCCCCTCATCTCGCTGGGAGTCTCCGACTCACCCTTGCCAACAACTCAAATGTTTCATTTCCCGGAAGGCACCTTTGCCGCTCACCCTGCACTCTGGACAGACCTGGGACTTCTAACCCACACTGTTGTCCAATGTCCACTTCCGCCTCCTCACCGGAGATGGCCGGTTCCTCTACGGTCAGCATCACAACTTATACCCGCTGCTTAGCATAGAGCCCGGCATTACCGTCACTCAGTCGGGATTTGCTGTGTGAATAACTAGTGCATGCTGGGAGGAACAGACGGGAATGAATGTTCCAGGGGAAGTCTCACCGGCTCAGTTAGAGAAGCATCTTATTTATCTCTCAGAGAAGACTGGACCCTTTCTGTGCCTTTTTTTTTTTTTTTTTTAAGATTTATTTATTTACGCATACAAGAGCTGGGAAACAGGCCAGAGATGCAGGGGGTGAGAAGATTCCCCAGAGACAGAGTGGGGAACAGAACAGGCAGATTGGCTGAAGTACACTGCTAAGGGGAGCAGCGGGCCAGTCAGGAGAGGTCTGCTGGGCCATGTGGGTTGCTCCCTGGCTGGCTGGGGATTGAACTCGTGTTGCAGAGGCTGCAGATTGCTTCATAGTGCGGTGCTTAACCCATTGCACCACCAGGGAGGGCCCCTTTCTGTGCCTGTTTAACAGCCCCTCTCACCTCACAGAACCCATCCGCTGCCCCCTGCGGGAAATCCCTGCTAGAAAATCACCCTGACTGCCTCTCCTGGGAGCCAGGGGTGTTCCTGGCCACACGTGCTTCCCTGCTGACTGCGCGACGCTGGACTCGGCGGTGGGTGGCTTAGGATTTACAAGGCAAACACATCGTGGATGTCTGTGTACATGAGGGAACTGGGGAAACCAAACCCACATTTCCACCCTTTTCCACATCAGGTCAATGAAGACTATTTTAGGAAGGCTGATTCTGTGTGCAGCGTTTCTAAGACAATCCAAAGAAATAGCCAAGAGTCACAAGTCATGGGCTGCTTCAATTCTCCCTAAAACTCCACAAGGGCATCTCTAGCGAGACCTATTTTAAAATCTGCATGTGGCCCCACCCTCAAGCCCAACACCAGGTTTCCGGGATGACACCTATGTTGTTCACACCCTTGAGTATTTCAGGAAACTCACCTACACCCACTCCTTTAAGATCTTTAAGAAAAAAAACACCTAATACTTGCTGAGTTTGTTCCTGGGGCCAAGTACTGTTCTCAGCACTTTATGTGTTTTTCCTGGACCTCCTACAACCACTTTACAAAGCTGGTCCTATTATTACCCCCATAGTACAGATGAAGAAAGAGAGGATGGGGAAATGAGCACGGAGAGGTTAAGTGCCGAGCCTGGCAGCCTGGCGCCGGCTCCTCATCACTTCCCGTTGCCACTGACCTTCAGCCTCCAGGGGCTGCTCAGCTTCTCAGAAGCAAAATTTATGGATCAAAGAGGTGAGTCCGGACCCAGAGAATAGGGGGCTCTAGGAGTCTCATGGATTCGCCCGAAACCGGTATTTTGAAAGCAGGAAAGAGCCCCCCAAAGCAACAGTTCAGCCCTCCCCTTTCAGAGAGGAAAGTGAAGCCTGGAGGGGAGGGGCAGGGGCAGTCAGGGAGGGTCTCCTCGAATGCTGGGCACCTGCACCAAACCTGACTCTATGGGGGGGGGGGTTGGGGGGGTAGGGCCGCGGGGGTGGGTAGGGGGTGGTTCACCAGCCTGGTTCTCATGCTGGGTGGGCTAATGAAGGGGTGTGGGGCTGGGGCAGAGGGGAGGAGGCTCTGAAGCAGCCTGAGTCCTGGGAAAATCCCCAGTGTGCACTGCAGGGGGGCAGTGGTCTGTTGCAGGATGAATCCCTCCTGCCTGAGCCTGTGGAGGAAGGCCAATGGCCTTGCAGTCCCTGGGAGCAGGGACACCAATTCCCTCCCAGGGGCTGCCTCGGAGGCTTGGGAGGACAGTGGGGTGGAGGGGCTGGGATCAGGCAAGGGCCTCTCTCCCTCATTCTGGCTCCAGACAAAGAACCACCTGCTCCCCTCCCGCCCCTCCCCCTCCAGGGCTCCCTGCTGTTGTCCTAGTGACAGGGGCTGCCCTGTGGCTCCTGGAGCCCCCACCCCCACCATGGCCTGCCAGTCCTGCCCCGAGCATATTACAGACTCCAGACTGCAGAGAATGAGCTGGAATCAGGCCGAGCCTTCCTCCTCTGCCAAAACTCTACCTTTCATGCCAGGGCCAGACAGGCCAGACAATGGGGGGTCACGGCTACCCTAATAATGAGGCCTCGGGGATGAAGGAGGATGACTAGGGGGAGGAGAGGCAGGAAAGGGGTTGGTTGCCTGGGCTCACAGATGTATACAAGACATGATCCAACTTCCACCCCAACATCACGGAATATGAACTTAAGAGCAAAGGGTAAGAGTGGGCATGGGGCACAGGGCAGGCAGGGTGGGAAGGGGAGACAAAGGGAGAAAGAACAGAGAACCAGAGAGACGATGCTGCAGGAGGCAGGGAGAGGTAGGTCCGTTGCCCAGAAGGAAGAGTTTCTGAAGGAGGCGGCAAGGAACCAGGTCAATCCCATTCCTGTCTGGGCCACCAACCAGTTGGTGTAATTTAGGGTAAACACCTGGAGCCATGAGGGCCGCGTCTATAAAACCTTGCGGGATGAGCCAGTGCCGAGTAGCTGCTCTCCATGGCCACAGGCCCCGTGAGCAGCTCCACTGGCCTCATTCAAAGCAACGCAGGGTGCGGAGTGTTCATGGAGGCTTGGCTGACCCTCCTGGGCACACTTCCCGCCTCTGGTCTCCTTCAAGGTCAGTGACGGGGGATGCGATCACACTAGGAGCTCACATTAGTACCACAGCTTGGAGCTTTTGGGGAAACAAACCCCACAAATGCAATTTCCTTGTAATTAATATGTTGGCGTTCCCCATGCTCCCACTCCCAAGTACTCCATGCCTTGGATTCACCCATTTTTGAAAACAGGGAGCTCTTGGAGTAACGTCCAGGAAGAGTAGGATGAAGGAAGACTGATTCTAGTTGTGGGTGGTCGTGGCAGCCAGAGGAATGTGGCATGAGCGGCCGCAGGCAGGGGTATATAAGAGGCAGGAGTCAGGCTGGCATTCTCACAGCTGCCTCCAGCACAGGCCCTGCACTGCGCAGGAGAGGGAGGCCACCTTCAAGTCCATGTTCCATCTGAGTGGAAGAACTGGTGGGAGAGGGTAGGGAATGCACAAAGCGAGGCGCTGAACCTCCCACAGTTATCGCCGCCCCCACCTGTCTGGCCTTGAAGAGAACTGTGGCTCTGTGGGGAAGGGACGCTGAATCCCACTGTCATCCAGCCCTCCCGCCCCTTAATCCTCTAGCTTTTCCCAGCCAAGGACCCCACACGTCTTCTGCCACATATCCCACCTCCCACCCTCGGCCCCTTCCTGGGGACTTGTGGCCTAGGCTGGGACAAGGACTCACCAGGTTTTTTTCTGTATTGTTGTCACCTAAGGGTTCCCTTTCCCTCTCTGGGGCAAGAAGTCAGGGAAGAGTTCCAGAAGGAATCCTGTGCCAGCTGCTGGCAACTTAGGCAGATACTAACCAAACTGCCTCAGTTTCTTCACTAATGATATGGCAAGAACTGTCCCTTCTGGGGTCCATACCCACCCCTGTGCATCAATGCATATGGGGGATGGGGAAAGAGAAATCTTTCATGCATACAAGAGGGCAACTGATCTTTCTACCTCTTTGCTCCATCAAAGGGTGGATGGGAGAGCCTCCCCAGTGGCACAAGGGGTTAAGATGCAACCTTTGAAGCTATCCGCAGCCACTGCAGCACAAGTTCGATTCCCGGCCAGGGAGCTACCCACATGGCACAGCAGACCTCTCCTGTCTCGCCCGCTGCTCCCCTCAGCAGTGTATTTCAGTCAATCTGCCTGTTCTGTTCCCCACTCTGTCTCTGGTAAACCCTCTCACCCCCCACATCTCTGGCCTGTACCCCAGTTCTTGTATGGATAAATAAATCTTTAAAAAAAAAGGGTGGATGGGAAAATCAGTATCAGTATGAGGGAGGTCCACATTGGGGGTGGGTTAGGGTGGAGACAGCTCGATTTGTGCTGTCAGCGGGGCCCAGTGACACTTGGGGAGAGGAGCAGCAAGGCAAGAGGTCATTAACCACAGTCCCAAACTCAGTGGTTTTCTAACAGCTCTGCAGAGTAGCAGAGCCCAGAAAGGTGGGGAGGGTTGTGAGCAGGCCCCCCACCCCTCTTCAGCCAGACTAGCTCCACTCTGAGCTGTGTAATGTACTGGCCTTTTGCACAGCCCTTGACTGGACAACAGTGGGTGTGAAGTGTGTACAAAGCCTGCTAGATATCAGGCACCACTTCACTGAAACCTCAGGTCACCCTGCGTCT